CATAAATAATACTAACAGTTAGCAGCAACAGTCCATAAATAATACTATAACTTATTAAGAAGATTACTCAGACCAGTTGAAGTCGACGCAGAAATTTGACTTTCTTATTTATATTTTTAACATTTTAGGAAATTCACCGTAGAAATAATTTAGGACACGAACCATAATAATACTAAGTACCTGCTGTCTCTTACATACAAGTTTGTCATCTGCTCGGTGACATCGTGCACACACTTCAAATGCAAATTTTTTTTCGTTCGCCACACGACGGACGCGAAAATCGAGCGAACAATGCCTCGCCAAACTTCCTTTGTTCCTTTAACGCCGACATGAATTTGGCGGTACACGTTGTATGTATCTGCTGGCGCCGTATTATATACCAGCGGATCCCAGAGAGGACAATGAAACTTAGGAAAAAGAACAAACCAGTCGTAAATATTTAAGCTATTAGCTGCTTACCTAATTCTCAATTTATAACTCAAAATCACATAAAAATTTGTAGAAAATTCAAAATCACATTTATACAAGTTTAAGATATATTAAAACTTATATATTAACAAGTTGTGCAATACAAAAACGATGTTCGAAAATAATGCATTTTTTGACTGCACAATGACCTCGTAATAGAAAAACAAGTGCCTATTTAAGTATTGGCAGAAGTTAGCTAGGTATACATCGTTTCAATAATCTATAATTGAAAAAGTAATAAATATTATCACACAACCTAATATAATTGAATATGCGTTTTAAATTTATTTGTATGTTAAATAATTTGCAGTCTCCCCGAGGCAACATAAATACGTCAAAATTACATCGGCCGGTGGACGCGTACGATAATCTGTGGCTTGGGATTTGCGGCTGTGTGAGTTAGTTTTGGAGCACACCCACCAGCCGACGCGCCAAAATTGCGTCCGATAGAGTTTTTGCCCGACGTCGAGTGTCAAGGACACGCGCTCCTCTGTTGCTACGTTCGAAAACGAGATTGTTGCCCACAATCGCGCCCGCACGCGTATTATTCGCCTTAATAACGCTTAATGCTTGTGCCGAACGTAAACGTTTTAATTTAAAAAATAATCCGTGCACAATATTCGCCCTTAGAGAGGCCTAACTACAATGTTCATGTTTCATATAGTCATATAGTGCAACTTGAACGGTACTGATGTTATTAAAATCATTCAAATATAAATCCACGGTCTTAAAAAATACGTTTAATAATGCTTATAAGGATGATTTGAAAGTTATTAGTTTTTTTTAATTAAGACAGTCAGACAGGCAATATGTAATTAGACTACGCTTAAATCTTAGTAAATTAAGTATAAGGCAACGGTAATGTATGCGGCTTGCAAGAATTTATTTAAATGATAATAGAATTCAGTCTAATTTATTTATGTTATTATCTGACTACTTTTATTATACTGTAAAAATAATAATATAAATTCGTATGCAAATATATTACTTACTAGCTGTGCCAGCGACTTCGTCCGCGTGGAATTTAAAATAAAAAAAATCTAAAATAAAAGTAACCTTAGTTATTTCTTATTACACCAGCTATGTGCCAGTAAAAGTCGCGTCCAAATACATAACACAGAGAGACATAAATTGTAAAAAATGTCATTTTGGTATATGTACCATGTATACATCCATATATTATATTTAGTAAAAAGCGGATATTTTAATATTACAAACAGACACTCCAATTTTATTTATCTGTATAGATGACAAATATATTTATTACTTATACTTATATGGCAGAATTATAAAAAAACTACACTAACAAAAATATAATCTAATAATTAAACTGTCACAATGTCAGGAATTAGGTAATCAACTAATAATTAAAGTTTTCATTTATTAAGTAGTTATACCTAAATAAAATAATCTAAATTTCTATCATTCTACGAGCCTACAACAAATATCAACCCTTAAATTTTGGACTAAAAATTTAATTCAAGGCAAAGAAAATTCGAAAGTCACCTACTTCTCGTCTTCGTATTTTAAAACAGCTGTCGCAAAGTATAGCATAAAATATAATTAAGCCATTCATTTCAACTTTACCAACTTATACAATCGTAACCTCTTTGTGATAGGTGATGTGTTTCTGCTTACATTAAAAGCTACCTAACATTATTTCCACACTCGCCTACATGGTTTCGATAACAACTAAGTTTTGCTGCTAGGTACGCGCTTAGTTGTGAACTGATGCAAATTCCTATTATATGTTTGTGTATATAGTCGGAACATTACTAAAGAATGTAATATGAATTTTAAATAGCTACATATTACTGATTTTTTTTTTTTTCACGAAATAGCTTTTGCTTTATTGCCATCCCGTCTGATGTCGAATGGTGATGATTTTATCACAAAATATTCTTTAGGCGGTATGGCATTTCAAAATAATTGTGAAACTTTTGAACCTTTTGAACTTTTGATAATGTGGTAAAAAAACTAACGCAATTAACTTCACACGTATTAAATCGTCAGTAGAGACACGAACACAGCGGGTGCGGCGAAACTAGGTTACCCATTTCTCGTAACTACGTAGCGAGCCGCGAAATCAGAAGGACAACACTGCCTTCGCATTGATGGTTGTTAAGCCTTTTCAGTCATGAAGGAGTCGCCCCTTAGCTTGTGGAAGCTCATCGAAACTCCGTCCCTCTTCCACTTACGCTAATTCAATAAGTGTGAACGAGAGGGGAATCTCAACAGTATTCAGATGAGTCGTACGGGAAAGTCGTAATAGTTTTGCGTTGCATTATTCGTATACAGCAATGGGTACATTCGTATAACGTCGGGTTAAATCAGTACATTTATCCTTTAAAACAGAAAGCTCTTGCATTCGCATTTTGATTGCGAGTATTTTACAAAAACCCACGCAGTTTTACCGGATACATATATTTTTCATTCGCCATTTTTGTATGCGGACATCCTACGGCCTGCTTATATTTGCATATTGTAAGATTATTGAATTGCCAGTCCCACGCAACGTTATTGCAGTGCGTTTAACGAAATAATCGATAAATTCTAGTATTTACGATCGTTCGCCTAGTCTTTGAAATTTCTCCAGCATTATTTTCTACTGCCGTTTTTAGTCTAAAGAAAAGACAGATACTACACTTTTCTACATATTTTAAGATACTACACTTTTCTATAAGCGGTCTCGTTCCGGTCAGCATCTTGCTGACGACCCGAGATGTGTCTGGACTTTTTTCCTGAATTTTTTCCCATTTTCCAATTTACTTGGTGTATTTGTAAACTTCTTTACTAATAAGAGGTGTTAAGAGGACATGAAGCAAAAGGTTTCATATTCCGTCCACATATGCGAAGAAATCTTGTTTTGACAGTTGCGTTTTATTTGCTCATCAAACAACCGACGTGCTATTGATCGGAGATTTGAGATTGCACGAAACGGTCGAGAAGGTTCTTTTCGAGTCAACTTGTTAAGCGGCGAGCAAGTCTCCCAACATGTTCAGCGACGAACTTAAAAGCGCCCGTAATTGAAATAATTAAACGCGGATAACAAGTATCGAGAGTTTTGATCTCCATCAAAGATACATTTAAAAGCTTACATGGCGCCAGCCTTGGGAGCACTTGTCCGTTATAAGCCACAAAAGCATATATCAAACATGTCACATTTTCCTCACGATTCGCGAATGGAATAAGTAAAAACGTCCCCGCAACTAGGTTACTCTGGCTCCGTGCTTTATTGTGTTTACGTGCCACAGATATGAGATACAGAGATACACAGGCCGGGTCAAGGTGGCAGACAGCTTTCGAGTGGCACGGCTATATATGGATCCGGCATATTTTAGCTACTGCTCAACGCGGTCACAAATCATTCGCGCGCTCACGACTTGTCCCATTTACGAGGCGCGGCGCCCAAATTTCCACATAATGCCGTCTACAACGAGCATCGTCGCCGTCTAATTGCTTAATCCACGCCTGTCCTTGGGCCCAGGAGCGGCCAACAATGGACGCGGCACACGGAAGAGCGCTAAAAAAGCCCTCGTAAAACGAGCGCAGTTCGAATTTTACGGCCCGCCTCCAATTGGTGCCTGTAAAAATCGTTTTATTGGACTCGCATCCGCTGAATGCTCTAATTAAAAACACGATACGAGTACGCGGACTTGCGAAAGCGAGCCGCGGAGCTGCCCTTGTTACGAAATCCGTACGCGCCCTTTATTAAAGCTTTATACAGTTCCACGATGTTTTTAATGCATGACAGATAATTGTTCGAGGGAACGGTAACGAGTGGGTGGATATACGCTTTCGACGCAAGAAACCTTGGTACATTCAATGCGACGTGAATGAATGATTGTATTGCATCGCACTTTAGTTAATATACAATTTGTTGGTACGATTTTTCAGATAGTTGACAGTAAGATGATTTTATGTGATAGGATTGTTGCTTATTCAACCTCCTAACAATCCTCCTAAAATATCCTCCAATTCTAAAATGGCAAAATGAAGTATTTATACATCACTATCACTACATAGTATAAAACAAAGTCGTCCCGCTGTCTGTCTGTTCCTATGTATGCTTAGATCTTTAAAAGTACATGACGGATCTCGTTTCTTTTACTAGATAGAGTGATTCGAAAGATTATATATATAATACATTGCACCCGTACGAAACCGGGGTCGCTAGCAATATACATTTGTTACAATAAGATATTTGTGTAAAGCCGTCCTCATGACTAACGTCGTTAACCGCTGCATAATTTTGCCTTCACTTTACAATCGCAATAACAACCGCGTGCTTTGTTTCAGAAAGTACTACGCCGCAAACAACGCTACCTCCCCGTGAAGACTTCAGATCGGAACGACTTCAAGTGCCATTAGGAACCAGTGTACCATACAGTGATATTTATTACCCGTACATACATAGTGCTAGTTTTAGTGCGTCGCGATAGACTTGTGGGGTGCTATAATTTTAAGTGTTAAAAGTGACCGGCAAAGAAGCTAAGCTGGCTCCGTATAAGGACATCGCGAATGCGTCGAGCATGAGCTCCGCTGTGCCGGCGATAAAGTGTGAAGATTCGCCGTCGCCGACAGCGCCCGTCGGCACTGAGGGGGAGGGGGGCGCCTTCAAGATGAGCATCAACGTGAACCTCAGCACCGCGATGATGAACCTCCTGGCGGCGGACAACGCGGGCCCAGCCCTGCGCACCCCTGAAATCGTCAACGACGTCATCACAATGACCAACCCCCTCGACCAGTACAGCTACAACGACAAGAGCTCCAACTTCAAGGTGAGAACTGTCTACCACAAACGTTTAGATAAAACTGTGGCAAAATTTTTCACCGCTGCCGGGATATTGTGATAGTTTAACGTTTCATCTTAAGTGTAGAGACTAGCAATAATACTAAAAGTGAGAACTCTCGTTAAAAACAAATCATATCACCCCCACAGTAGATAGAGGTAAATAGTATTACCACTGACTTTACTTTATTACCCTAAACTTGACAGATGATAATTCTGTGCCATAAACCAAGTAACAAAAGTAACTCTGCAGTTAACTGCCTAACTGCTTAGGGCATCCGAAAATCCACGATCTTTAATCGTGAGTCATAGACTCTTGGCCACAAACTAGCCTAGTGAAATTTTATAGCAAATGGTACGTAGGTATTTATGTATTTGAAAACAACCAAGGTTGGTGAGTGTGGCGCTGTAGCATATATTATCTTACAAAGCGAATAAGCGATATGATCTCATTCAGTCTAGACTTCGCGGGTAACACGATGAATTGCAAATGTACACTGGTAAGGTCATTTTGACGGGATAAACTGGAATCCTTTTCAAAGGATAGTTGTCAGATGTCTTTATACCTGACAAATTGGCCTCCGACAGAGAGATTCTAATTCTGGAAGCGGATTATGTGCCGTTACACAAATTGGCAGACTCAGCCAGGAAGAACCGGCTTCACGGGAGACCGGCGTGAAGTAAAAGTATAGTTTTGCCCTTTGTCTGGCTAGTGAGGTAACCAAGACGTATTCATTTAAAAATTGGCGACACATCTACAACTCGCCAGCTGGTTTAAATATCGAATAGATAATAAAAAATATAAATAAGAAAAAATATAAATAATTAGAACATTATAAATCATTTGTTTGAATAAATGAACACAGAAATAGAAAACAATAAGACCACTGAATAGACATAATATAGACATTAATATTTGTAGACGCCATAAAAGAAATTAAAAATATAATGGTTATAGGTGTTTAGTTATGTGTGGCCTTTCGCGGGCTTAGTGTGTATGAGTAATAATAGTTGAATTGAAATGCTGCCAGATATTAGTTACACACGGAGTCATTCATGGGTAGTTACCCAATCCTGTTCTAAACACCAGATAACCAACAACTACAAAAGAGAAAAGCAATCCGGCAGACTTCATGGCACCGCCGCTCCAGAATTCGTCGTCCAACTTGTCTATATTTAGCTGTACATTCAATTATCAGCAAAATGGGTATCCTTACGTCATAATTACTACGAGATACATCGAGGACTGTTTAATTGTAGCGAATTCAGAGCGTGAAATGACAATGGGACAATGAGATAATTACGCATTCGCTGCGTTAATGTGACGAATTTACGTAAGCGTTTTCCATCTGTTGAATAGAGGAATGACAATCGGCAGCGAGTGTTCGTATGGAGCAAATTAGTGACCGATAATTTAACATCTGAGCCGTGATAGCACCCATTCACACAAACATTTAAAAAAACAAAACTAAGGGATCCAAGGCATCATTAGAATTATAACACAAGTGACGTAGCATTAAGACTAAAATAAATGATGAACCCTGTAATGTTAAAATAATAATGCAACTGGACTCTTGTATAAATCTGTGTTTTTGTATAAACATGTGTATGAACTACCATCTTAATACATTATGTCAACAATGTTTGTTCGAACAAGGAAGGATGAAGGTCTCTAGAATCTGTTATAAAAAATGGAGTGTTAATTTTAATCTTTATTATAAACCTGACGCTATAATAAAAAGTCACTTTAGAGTTTATAAAATGTATTATCTTCATATATAAATTGTCGACTAATGTATTTTATATATTTTTAAATACGTTCAGTTTTTCTAATGTTTATGACATTTTTAGGAAATTTGTCATATGACCACCCAGGATTTAATTGCTATTGCAATAAAATTGTTTACTATTTTTTCCAACAAATAATTATAAACGATTTAGGATATGTAACAAAATTTAAATCTTATGGTAGAAAGTCAAACACCTCAGATCATTCGATAATCTTGGATGCTGCGCAATGTTCGTAACGCTGGAAGAATAATAAATTATTAAAAAACTTTATAGTCCGTGAGATAGTTAATCAAGAATTAATTTATATAGTATATAGATGTTAATACTTAAAATTACGAGAGAGGGTGTTCTCTAGTTTTTTACCAAATATGTACCAGAATATGTTTAGAGAATGTTAACCGCGTGCGCCCTACTACAGTATACAGTAAATATTTGTGAACACTTATTTAAATTTATTTTAAACCAGATTTTAAATATCTTTTAGAATTCTTTTGGTATTTGCTTTTACAAATATTCGATAGATCATAGACGACGCATACCCAGTATTATCTTCCGTATTAGGGTCCTAAATTCGAAACCAAATAGGAATCAATCGGCAAACAAGGAAATGACAATAATAAAGAAAAAATATCTACCGTCGAAAAATATGTTCGACCTTTGTATATAGAATTACTCAATTATATTACTATGATAATTTAAAGACGCGCGCACAAATTTGTCCACCACTACGTTTTCGGACGTATGCCAATGTTTCAAGAAACATCGTGGCAGGCCGTGGTACATTAAATATTTAGAATTTATCGCTTCAAAGAAAATGTCGTTAAATACCAAAAGCCACGCGCGAACAATATTTGCGTGTTTTATATTAGCAAAACGTTACTTCTACATTTAACGTCCAACTTATGAGTTTTTTATGCAATAAGTTAGTGAGTTTATGTGCTGGTACCGTGAACATTTGCAAATATGCAAGGCATTATACATTCCTTAATACGGAAAGGTTTAAAATACTTGTCGTACTTCTACTGTCTCGACTAGAAATTGAACTTAAAATACGAATTTTTCATTTTTTTTAACCAAAACGACATAATAACATAATGGAATAGATATAAAAGGATAATTCGTTTGAATTTTTCACATCTTTGACTAATTTTTTTAAGAAAGATAGTTGAAGTGTCTTTGTATCCTCGACTCAATGCAACGGGAGAACATATTCGGGTGATATTTATAATAGCTTTGCTAACACGCTGCATTGGCACATACGATTTTCTATTTAAGCCCGGTTTATACTGCAATATATCTTATTTTGTATCAAACTGAACTTTTGGGAGTAGCTGAAGACATAAAAAACGTTAAAATTTAAGTATATAGTCCTTGATAGAGTAATAGGCATAGGAAGAAGATAGATAATTAGCCGGTGCGGCCCCCAATGCGCGAGCGAGCACTGAGTCACTTCCCGTTGCGATTGCTGTTGCAGGGCGGAAGCGGGAACGACTCCAACTCCTCGCTGTCCAACGGCTCGTCCGCAACCTCCCCAGCCTCTGGTACACCGCCCAGCATACAAAAGGTAACAACTGAAGCTTACACCTAAAAGTCTACGCTGTGGCACGAATGGGCAGGCCCGTTCGGGAAAGTACCACGACCTCACAGATTACCGCCATTATCCTTCTGCGTTTGGTCTGGTAAGTGAGGTAGCTGGGGCCCACTTTATCAAAAGGTGGCAACGTATCCGAAATCCTACGGGTGCTGCCAATGTCCATGGGCGGCGGTTGTCACTTACTGTCAGGTGAAATGGCAGCTCGCTTAGCACCTTCTTACATAGAAAAAAAGTATCAGTAAAGTGGCGTACTGTATTGGAGCCAGGCAGCGGGTTTTGCTATTACACGAAAAAAGTTCGGACACAGCAGACCGGAGAAGATTTGGTATTGATTTGAGTGAGGTAGCCGGGGCGCACATTATTAAGAAGTGGCAACGCATCTGCAACCCTACGGGTGTTGCAACTGTTCATGGGCGGCGGTTATCACTTAACATCAGGTGAACCGCCACCTCGTTTGCCACTTCCTCACATAAAAAAAATCTTTTCTTAAAAATCAATTAAAGTGAATACTTTAATGAATATTAATCACGGTTTTCATACTCCGAGCTGCTACCTAGAATCAGTGTTAATACACACCCTTCACTCTTACCAATCCCCGCACAACAACTTTTTCGCCTAGCCTTCCTTTTGAAACCACATTCCTTATATTTATTTCTGATTTCTCCTTAACAAAGCGTAAGCAAGTTTAAATAGTCATATCGCTTTCTCAATTTTTATTAGCACGGCCATAACAAGAGCTGTAATTTATTGCTAATCGTAAATTGCGTTCGCGTTAGGCAAACATGTCACATCCTGCATCTGTTTCTATTTTAACATTTCTTTACTGTATACGAAGCCAATGTTTTATTCATATAATAGATACTTATCGAACCATCTGCTATACTTAGAGATTCCGAGTAAAATAAAGGCCTTCTGTAGAGTTTTCTTGTGAAAATACCATGATGAAATTATACAAAGATTTTTTATTAAAAAAAAAAACAAAGGTTGTATATGAAAAAAATCTGTTTTCATTATATCAATAGGTTTATGTACAATATTTTATAAATTCAATATCGATATGCAATAGTACTCCTCCAAAGCCAGGAAAAGAAATGGCAAATTTATATTACAAAATATGTATTTTCGGAATATATACGTTTTTGTTTATGTGGTAAGAGATTTTTCTTTATGTGTTTTTATGGCAAGCGAGCTGGCGGTTCACCTGATGGTAAGTGATAACCGCCGCCCATGGACATTTGCAACACCCATAAGGTTGCAAAGGCGTTGCCAACTTTTAATGAAGTGGGCGACTACGTCACTAACAGACGAAACGCAGAATCATAATACTTCTACTTTACGCCGGTCTTCTGTAAGGTCGTGGTACTTCCCCGGACGGACCTGCCCATTCTTGCATCAGCGAACTGATGCGTGGCTGGAAACGTATATTATCACTACCACTATGAAAATATTCGTTTTAATAATATCATTGTATTGATTTTACTAAGCTTACTCGTTTCGAAGAAGTTTTCTTACAAAAGCGCATGAGATTAACATAATTGAAAACCGTTAAACTCTTATCCTTATCGAGGATTAAGTTTTTTTAAGAAACCATTTTTAACACATCTCTTCTGAGAGTCAGTGAAAAAAATAACAAATATATTTAAATGAATACTAAACACATTTACATTATGGCACTTGCAAATGTTTCTATTAAATATTTTAAATAATAAGGAACCAATTACATTCTCGATATAACAAAACATCCCGACTATGAACTACGGGCGACTTTGTATTGAAAAAAATATGTATTATAAACTATCGTAGTCTTTTTGCCCCCAGTGTCGAGACAATGGGCGGACGTTAAATTGTGAGAAAAACAAACACTTCTTCGCTAATATTACAATTGCAATTGTATATAAATTGCTATTGCATTCGCGACTACCTATTCCCGCGATTTGTATAATTGAATACACATAGGTACATAACTACATACGTAGCCTTGTTGAAATCATTCGATCAAGGTTTCGACCGTGAATCATTCTTGTGTAAAAAATCTTAAATCACGATCTCGCGAGATAGAATACCTACAATGATAGGCGAATGTATAACATATATAATACGACATATATATAAGACGAATATATACATATTTGAAGTACAAGAATATTAGGTACTAAGAAAAATATTCATTCTCTAAAACAATTTAAAATTCAACGTCCACAATTTAGAATTAATATTTGTTGACCTTTTATATGCAGATAAATATTTGTAAAATACGAATGTTAAAGTTCCGTGTTTAATAAATTACATATTTGTTTGCTTATCATAACTGACTCCGCTAGCGTACGAAATGATTTTATATGACAAACGAGACGAATTAATTATCTTTAAAATTAAGAAATGTACAATGAACCAACGGATAGTTCTTTCGGACTTTGTTTTTTTTATACATATCATAAACTTCTGCAAATGTAAGTTTAATGAAAAACTGTTCAATATTATTGCTTCACATTCTATGTATATAGTAAACTCACTGTTAGTGCCGCCTGAAACTATCATGCCATATACATATACCTAGTACCGCCTAATTATATTAATCATTATAATGTAAAAACACTACACTATATTTATATTATAGCACGTAGTACGTAAAACGTTGATTTACTTAAATTATACAAACGTATCAAATAGTGTCAAATCTCTAACATTGACATTACTTAACAACCATTTTGTATTAGTTATAGTTTCAAATAAGTATCTGCAAAGAATTTGCTTAGCTGTTTTAATATTCTTACTCGTTAAATATCTTTGATTGTATCACTACCCCCCCCCCCCCCTTCCCGGCCCCGTAACAACAACAAAAACAATAACACGATTTCATTATCTATACATATTACTATAATCAACGATCCACGAGATGTGGCAATGCTTACGTTAAAAATTACGTTTTCAGACGTGTTCGGATCTGATCAAGGCTGGTTTGAAGTTGTCCATAGAGTCGAAGCGAAAGATGTCCGGCAGCGACACAGACGGGGGCCTGAAGCGGTTAAAGAAAGAAGAGAGCGACGAGGATTATGACAGCAGCCATACGCAAACAGTAAAAAATGAAGGGGTAAAGTATTAGTTCCCATTTGCGCATTCCTACACAAACAGCCTGAGTATCATCACTACGTAGTGTAACACAAAGTCGTCTCGCTGTCTGTCTGTCCCTATGTATGCTTAGATCTTTAAAACTACGCAACGGATCTTGATTCATCATAGTTTTCATTTTCGTATCGTCTGGCGAGTGAGGTAAACGGGAACCAATTTTTTAAGGTTTGGCAACGCACTCACGACGTCTCAGTTGTATATGCCCATGGACGGCGTGACACTTAGCATCAGGTGAATCGCCCATTTGTTTGCCAAATTTTCACGTTAAATATAAAACGTGTATCCTACACTTTATTTGAAATAAGTGCTTAGTTACCATAGTTCATGTACAAAATCCGATGTGTAAGTATGTATGTATGAATTACGCACTGCGAGCGATATAAACTGTGCCAGCGAAGGCACTACCGGTAACATAAAACCCCGAGATCGCTGATCGCCACTAAACCAGCTTCTACGACCGCCAGTGCATTATAATTCAACGGCTTTATTGAAGTTTTATGGGCTCACGAAGAAGGCTGGCATTGCGAATGCGTTGCGTTCGTGACAAAACTTCCCGATCGAAATAGGACCAGTGCGATGAGAAATCATCGATACCGAGCAGTGTTAGGGCCGTCGCTAAACGATTATACATTCAACAGCTCACCCCGGAAGACGAGGAGCGCAGGCGGCGCAGAAGGGAACGGAACAAAATAGCGGCCACCAAATGCAGAATGAAGAAGCGCGAGCGCACCGTCAACCTGGTGACGGAGAGCGAGGTTCTGGAAAACCAGAACCAGGACCTGAAAGCGCAGCTCAAGGTGATTTATTCACAAGCGTAAACTGCCCTCACATATGTTCAGTTTGTAATATTTGCAGATAATTTCACTCGGTAACGATGCTCGAACCTTCTATATCTGTTGAATGCCATGCAAAAAAAGCATCTTGGAACAATAAGTTAAGCGAATCATTGCCGTGGCACCGCGTGCGTTTAATTACATAATCAGAACTTAAAAGTTGTTTCATTTTATAATAGTTTAAAACTGTTGAAAGAATATATTATAATAGCCGAGCGTGGATTGTGCCAAATAATTTAATAATGAAACGTCAAAACAAATCGTCATATTTTTTAGCTTTGTCTGGAACATTTTAAATTATAGCGTCGACTGCTGAAATGTTAGCACGCAACTGCAATCCCACTGACACTCCGAACGCCTAAAAGTAAAGTAAAGTGACGTAAAGTAAGTAAAATATAGGCTATATATGTCCCAATGCTGGGCAAAGGCTTCCAAGAGTAATGTACAGTACTGTGTACAGAGGGTATTAATGCATAGTCCACCACGCGGCTTCACTATTAGCTATGCATTATTTAGAAAATATGCAGGTTTCCTCACGATGTTCTCCTTCACCGATGAACAGGTAATAAGTCAGCACTGAAAATTAAAAATTTCATTGGTGGCGGCACCGGGTATCGAACTAAGGTTGCTCGATTACATTCAATTAAAAGCGAACGAAACACTGAGCTGTCAAGCCGAATCTATATATCGAACTATAAGCGTATCACGCCGAATCATGTATCGATCTATAAGCCTATCTATAACCTATCACAAAATGGGTCGCGCGCTCGGCTGCACTCTCATAAGGACGTAACGGGCAACATCGCTTTCAGGACCTGGAGGTGCAGAAGCGGCAGCTGATCGACATGCTGTCGCTGCACGCTGCGTCGTGCGTCAAGAACGGCCAAAGCGCGCGGACCTCGCCGCCGGCTCCCTACGGCGTGGTCCGCTCGTACGAGCCGGCCGCGTTCCCCGCCAACTTCGAGCAGTCGCCCTACATCCGCCCAGAGTCGGCCAACATCCTCGCCTCCAGCTACACGTGCGTGACCCCCCTCGCCGACGCAGTGGACGCGATACCGCTCGACACCGCGTACATAGCGCAGCAGGTGATCGACGCGGACTACAGGCCGGACAGCGTGCTCAGCCTGCCCAACGAGGCGCACTACATAAACACAGACGGGTACATGCCCAAAGCGAACCTGCTCGTGCCGATCGACCACGACGAGTACTACGAGTCGGGGGTGAACTACAACCTGTCGTCCGCCCAGCCCTGTCACACCTATCCGGGTACGCTGGCGGAATCGCAGACGAAAATCGGCACGAACCTCAACGACGGCTGCCTCGTTTAGGCCACCCCCCACCCCCCTCCCCCAGTCCGTTCCCCATTCGCGAACCGCATCGGGTCCAAATGATAGTCCGTTTCGATGTATACGTATCAATATTGTTGGGCGTTATTTCGAACGTTCGAGATAGCGTCAAATTCGAAATGATCACATTAGAAATTCTCTTGTTTTTGAACTTAATTTATGTTCTCTATGAATAACATCCGTTGTTTGCATTGTCTGTGTATAAAGCACCGCTATTTTGTTTTCACCGTGAACAGAACCCATATAAGAAACCACTATAGAAGTCCAAGGGATTTATTTCGAAACGTAACGTATGTCTACTGTGTAGAACAACAACATAGAGTTAATTATGGTGCCTGTAACGCTAAGTTACTACATGAAACGAAGTATAATTAAGGTCAGTGGGCAATCAGCCCGCAAACTCGAGGGAGGTGCTACAGCTAATCGAGTATTTTTTTCCTTCATAAAACTACTCAAACGTCACATAATAAAATAACTTTAATTGTTTTTAATTCCCAATGTGTTGTGAAATAATAATTTCATCACCTTTTTACGATCAATGCAACTGTGAGACAGTTGATTAGGTGAGTATGTATTGTTTTTAATTTTACTTAGTTCTAACTGGAATACTGTATTCGTTTTTTTTAAGTTCTATAATTTTGCTTTGATCTGTACAAAATATTTATTAAGGTTAGATCTGATTATATATAAAATCGCAAGGTGCAATAGTGTACAGTGAAAAAAATTAAAAATGACAAATTATATCTATACAACCTATACCAAACACTTTAATGTAAAAACAGAGACATCACTTAAATATTCTCTTCCAGTAAAATAAATATAATTAATAATTACAATTAAATACCTCCTGTTGAAATTCCGAAAGTATATTCTATGTTACAGAAGTATATGAAATGGAGTTGTAATTCCACATTTGTCTGTTATACATAATATAAACATAAGATAATCTAGATTTTAAGATGCTTTAACTCAGATTAAATCGTGATATGATTATTCTAATATTATTATACTTGTTATGGTAACAAATAATGAACTAATTTTTAAGTATTTTACATCAAAACATAATAACTTAATGTTATTGGTATTTAGGACACATAGTGTCGCTTAACGAGCCTAAAATTAATATAAACAACGGAAGTGCCTCCATTAAGATTACTCAAATTTGTTATTGTACCATGCTAAAGTTTCGAAGTCACTATTTTGGAAAATATTACCATTTAGAATAAGCTTTATTAATTCTGCGGTAATTTGGTATTTACCAATGTTATTTATGACTGAGTTTCACATAAGAAACAAGTGCGTAATAACCGGAGTTGTACTATTGTGCACTTGTTTGTTACTTAGTCGATAATATCAATTGGAATAATTTAAATTAGTCATGAAAATAATGCAGACTTACAAACACAGTGCCTTCTGCGTACCAGTGAAACTAGTCTATGTGGCTGCCTTGTTAGTATTGCAAGTGGCCAGTCGCGCAAGCATTTATTTTTTATATTGTTATTGATACTGTTCAAACTTTTGGTTATTGTGATAAACTAGCGTACTTCCAAATTGTATAATTGTTCGCAGTTGTTTTCGTTGAAATAAACCTTTCCGACGTTTCAAACGCCGTTAAGGGATCGTTTCGTTAATAAGTTGATTTATAATTTGATATTTGTATGATAGGTTTAACGTGAGAATAATTACTTTGGACAATTTTTTCTGAGTGTTATATTTTTTGCTACCATTTTAACATTTCAGTTAGGATTTTCGCAAAGTATAATACATTGTAATTTGAGTGTAGGTATCTTCTTAGCAATCTTAACGGTAAGATTATCTTAGAACGGTACGATTATGTTATGTTATTTTTTATATCTCGCCAGTAGTTGTAATAGTATATTACTATTGCAAAAAAATTAAGATAGAAATAAAATCTATCAATGATTATGAGATGTATTGCAACTTACATTTCATATTTTTTAATATTTCCCATGTTATGCCTAATAATGTACGGTTATTGCTTAAATGTTTTAAATCCTTTTCTATCGATCTAGTTTGTCACAAAATGTCTTTGAAAAGAAATTTATCTAACGGTATTGAATTTTTACAACACAACTTTGTGGTGTGGTAACTTTTGATTTGTTTCTTAAATCACCGGCAAACGATTAAAAATGGCAATTAGTCGTTCAAAATGTTTCAATTCTTTCATCGCCTATGTGCCTTTGTCATATAAACTTATACTTATTCTCATGTATATCAAAACAAATTATCGTATTTTATATAAAAAAAAAGTATTTTAAATAACTCTCATTGTCAGTCTTATATCTACATGTAAAGTAAAGAATACCTTGTACTTTAAATGACAGTTGTTAAGTACTATAAATTTTATGTAATTAGATTTTGTAAGTGTTAATCATCACTTGTACCTGCTTCTTCAGTATAAATATTTTGACAGTCGAAGCAAAATTACTGCGCTTATAAATAAAAAAATCATATTATGCATTATTAACTGTCTAATTTTAACCTGACCTTAACCCTATACTAATTACATTTAAATACTGGATAGTTTTTCTTTGATTTTCATTCGAATAAACCCAAAGTATTATGATTACACGAATTTTAAATAATTTAATAAACCTAGTACACAATTTAGAATTCGTGTAACAACTTTGGTAATTCCGTACGTACACTAAAGCTAGGAAACCTCTGTATGCAAAGAATCATCAAATATGTATTTTGAACGAGACAACGTGTTACTTTAAAAATAGATAATCAATTATGACTTTGTTACAAAGTCATGCAGAATACTGGATAATAAGTTCAATATTGGCTGTATTGTGAAAAAAAAAAATGTTATTGTCTATTCAGAAAGACTACGATAATTATTATATAATCTACTGCTTTGTGGTGCAGTGTGATCTCCTTTTTGGGGTATTGAAATGTATAAGAGAAGATTATGACTTGAAGATTTTCCCATACAAGACGAAATATCTTTAAAGAATCTGAGTATTGTGATTAATCTGCATCTGGCTTAAGTAGCTTTGAAGCCGTTCAAAAATAATAAAATTTACAAGAATAATGACTTAATAACATTTAAATTAAACCCAAATCGACAACGATATTATTTAATATCACAATAAAAAAATGTACACAATTTGTTCTAATTATTATTACAAACAACTGTAATAATATCAACACTGAGTGTTAATGTACCGTAAAAAGACAGTACAACGCATATTGCCAAAATAATTGCAACACACGTGTGGATTTATTTTACTATGAATTTGAATAATTATATAAGATTAATGCAAAACCATTTTTTACGGCAAAGTTGCCGTATCATTGCTCGATTCAATTCGAATTTATTGTAGCCATACAGTAAACTAGCGTCCATTACCAGGTTTTGCTACCTGCAAATGGAAATAAACATTTCAATATCTTCATAAATTAAAGACTCTTGGAAAAAAAAATGTAATAATACCAATCTAGATTGCGCTCGATTAAACTGATAGAATGATTTCAATAAACTATAATTACTTTTTCTAAAATTATCAATTTTCTAAATTAAGGGTAAAATACAATATAACAGTTTAATCGGTGCACTTTCCCTACAAAAGTTTCTATAAAAATAACCACCGACCGTTCAAAGCGTGCATGATCTATAACAAGCAAAATAAAATACGAAAGCATGGAATGCAAAGCTTCGGTTAAAAGGTAACAAAAGGTACCAGAGGATTTGGTCAAAATACGAGCAATTATTAAAAATACTTTCTTTTATAGATAGTACTTACTGTGCTTTCAACTTCGACTAAGTAGATACTACAACTACTGAATATACTTAGGTTTATGAATAACAAATGGCCATGCTAATGCTTTAAATGTATAAAAGCTGTTTAAGTATCTATATGAAACAGCCACTTTTTGCTAGTCAATTCTTTAAACAATGTTTGAAACAGTCCTCAAGCTCTCTTGGTTGTCCACGTCAAGACATGAAAATCAGCATTGAGGTTTGAAAGCTCTTGTACTTTTTGGTATACACAAACTACTAAGAAAACTAATTATAACATTACACTGACTGGATATTATTGACCAAACATTATATCTGATCTACAAAATTATGAAATACCAACTAATGGCTTATTAATAGAAGAAGCAAGCAAATTTACCGTTCATTTCTGCAATCAGTTTCATGCAAATACCAAGTTCACATGCTAATATAGGCTATTTACTAACAAAAGCTTCTACAGTAATACTGGGTCGTAATATTTCTAACTGAACAATGATGATATTCGCTACTCATTACTTATTTAAGACATTACATTACAATTAAGTAAGAAAAGGGAAATAAATTCCGCTGTTATACTAAACCTCAAAAACAATATTTACCATAAAATATTTTATTGATTAACTTCCGATGCCTCTATATCATACTTATATACATACATAACTGTTTATATATACAATCAAACTGAAGACTGCAAACAGCACTAGTGTTTACATATTTACCAATACGTTAAAATACTCGATCTGATATGAGATTAATTTCTATAGGTGAAGATATCGACGAATTAAATTTGACCATAATATGATTAAACACTTTTTTTATTAAAAATGATTAGTGGTGTTGCTATATCAGAGCCCAGTATTTACAGATCGCCGAAAGCCCATAGCCCTGTTAATGTTAGCGTTAACCGACAAATTAACTGCGTGTGAAGCCGATTAGTTATTATTACATATAAACCATGATGTTAGATACAAAATGAAATAAGTTGCGTACGTGTCGGAAGCCAGAGATTAGATAGCTCGCGTCTCCGATACACTTCAAACGCTGGCGACAAAAGAAAAGAGAAAAATTTAACGTAAAACGTTTACGGCCCCGTCGGAGCGATAATGGGCCGTACGTCATACAAGATAAGGTTCAATTTAAAGTGTTATCGAAATTAATAATGCTGTATAGGGATTATAAATTGTAACTCGATAATCGAACAAGTTATGATTTCATTGAACATGAAAACAGGAATTAAAGAAAATAAAAAAATAAAAACGTCCACGGAGCAATTATGGACCGTATTTGATACAAGATAAGGTTGAACTTTAAGTGTTACAAAAATTCCTAATGCTCTAAAGGGATTAAAAAGTTGTGACTCGACCTACGATACGAACAAGTTATGATTTCTTTGAACATGAGAACAGGAATTGAAAAAAATTAGAAAAATAAAAACCTTTGCGGAGCGATAATGGACCGTATGCAATACACAATAAGGTTGAACTTTAAGTGTTACGAAAATTACAAATGCTGTAAAGGGAGGAACGAATGCTCTAACATGAGAACTGGAAATGGGGAAGGAACAATGTGGTTTCTCACCATTTAGCCCGCTTGGACCAGTCTTTGGGTGTCCAGTGCAGACATTTGGGGTCGATGCGCAGTAACTTCTTCTCCATCGCTTTCTCGTGTTGCTGGGCGATTTCCTTCCGGGATAAAAGAAATATCAGCTCGGGGGGTTTTGGCGCGGACTTGTGACGGTTGAAGATTTAACGTAAACTGTTACCTGATTCACCGATATTATGTACTGGCCCTTGTAATAGTTGATCAAGTTCAGATTCTGCAGTGTGCTTATGACGTCCTCCTTCTTTATGCTGGTCAGCTCGCAGATCTCGCTGCGGATTCGATGGCCGGCAATGGATTGAGAAGAATTAAAAAGAAAACAGGATTTAGTTCAACGGCTTAAGTAAAGAACTAAAGGCATCTATGAGAAGTAAAATTTATATATTGTTCATATCTATATTCACATTTATATATTATAAATTAATAATAAAGTAGAAATTTCGCCCACGAAAGAAGAGACGCGGAAGAAATAAACAATAAATGATAAATAACAACATTTCTCCAATGGTCGCAACTTTCAGCAGTCCGTAGTCATACTATTCAAAACAAGTTTTGGTCCTTTGAGTTTGACAGAAATAACAATATCAGCCTATTGTCGTCCTCTTCTAAACGTAAGCCTATCCCGAAGTGCGCCAACTATGGCCACTGAGTTTTATATCGTACCTATTATTCCACAGATGGCCCACAGGTAAGTTAAGTAAGAAAGTCATGGGTCATGGTCGTTTATAGAACGATCAGCTTTTAGTTAAATTGTCAATAGAGTTATAGAAATTGTCACAAGAAGTTAAAACTCCATTTATGTATATTTTGTCTGTATTTTCAATCGATCGATTAATGCGAACAAAAAAAATTTATGGATATTCAAGGCTATTTGTTGAGGTAAGCCATAGAAAACTATGGTGTCTAATAAAGGTTTGCTGAAATATGCCTCATATTATAGTTTTTTATATGTGATGTTAAGTGATAACCGCCCATTCACATTTACAACAATCGGAGTTTTTTTTTTAATCTAACCAGTCCTTCAACAATCGTAGGGTTGCGAATGGGTTGCCACCTTATAATAAAGTGAGCCCCGGCTACCTCACTCACAAGACGTTACGGATCTGGGTTTGGCCACGTGAAATTTATGTTTGTAAAACGTCATTACTACACCAGATAATGTTATATTTTTAGCTGAAGTAAGGGCAAAAATATCAAGTTCAAGTGTTTGTACGCATGTTCTCACTTGATCGTAATAATTGGTTTTTCGTTGTCTCCGACCGGTTTAACGTTCATAAGTATGTCCAATATCGTCTGGGCCCAATAACTTCTGTACGACAACAGGCCGAGATCCGACAAGGGCTTCTCTGGCGAACCGGTTTTGCCTTCGAACTTCGATAGCTCGTAACCTGAAACAAGTGGATGGAGTGAAGAATCAAAGCATTTATTTTTGACGACTTTTTAGGCCGAATAATATAAATATTTTAAAGCCGAAACGCTTTTTAAGCAGAATAATATAAATATTTTAACTGAAAACGTAATCGACTCCAAATATCTCACAAAATAAGTTTTTTCTATTCCCTAACGTATCCCAATATCGAGTGCCAATGAAATTGAAATGGGACCCTTTTCAAATATCTCATTTTCCATGGAAAAAAAAAATTCCAAATCGGTCTATAAATGGCGCCTAACTGATGGGGATACTTTGAGTGTTACAATTGAAATGTTTTTTGAAAGAAGTTCACAAGAAGTTATTATACTTCTGCGTTTCGTCCGTTGAGTGAGGTAGGCGGGACCCACTTTATTTAAAAGGTGGCAACGCATTTGTAACTTTACGGGTGTTGCAGATGTCAATGGGCGACGGTTACCACTTAAGAACAGGTGAACTACCAGCTCGTTTACCACCTTCCCACATAAAGAAAAAAGATTATTTCAACATAATGTGAGCAGGGATAACATCAGAAAAAATGAATTGTTAGACATCAACCAGCGAAGGGACATTATTAATTTTTTGTACAATATATTAAAAAAGTAATAACAAGGCTGCTCACTAAATTCTATTAAAAGTTTTCCATAACCCTTTCTTTGGTATGGAGGTAGAGTTAAAATACAAGCCACGTTGTAGTCTTCAGTGCTTTCCTTCTCCTTTGAGAAATAACCGACTATGTGGAACCCTGTGAACAGACAAAAACCCCCGTGAACATACAGCGAACATAAAATTCCACCCACTGCTCCCACTGCTGGGCAAAGAGTCCTCTTTAAAGTGTTTCAGTTGTTGTTATTATTTTGAAAATATGAAAGTTTTGCCAACGATGTTTTCCTTCACCGATGGCTTAAAATTGCAATAAACAATTTCATACGTGCCAGCACCAATATTTGAACTCAAACTGCTCTATAATGAATTATAAGCGAGCGCACGGACACTGAGCTATCACAACTTTTTATAGTGTCAGAGTTATAAATTATCTTACATGGAATGTTGGATGTTATTTACCTAGTGCCCATTGTTAAGGTTTTGTTTATTTTGGGACTATGTAACATTATGAAAAATATGTATTGGATTATTAATTGAAAACTTAGTCTTTTTAAATGACCCGTTTCCTTTTCATTTGTTCTTGCAATTTTGGATTGTTCAAATAACCTATTTACATTTTTTTCTGTATTATTTGATTTGTCTGAAAAACAAAAATAACACAGACGAGACAGCAAGGTGAGTCAGAAGTAGGTTTACTCACCTCTAGCGTCGAACTCCGTCATAACGTAAAATAGAAACGGATCCGTGTCGTAGTATAAGGTCTTGTGGTCCAAGAACAGCTTCGCCAGGAGGCAGAGGTTCTGCGCGTAGCATTTGTTCTTCCGCCCGTCAATCTCGAAGAACGAAATGCTGCCCTTGCGGTAGATCTCGTTGCCTGGCGGATGCTTCAGCTTGCACTTGATCTGCAAGGGTGTGGTCCTATTAGAAAGTTGTCAATTACAATCAGGGACTAAAGGTATCTATGGTAAGGCCACGCAACAGTCTTCTACTGTTGCACGAATGATGAGGTCCGTCCGGGTGAGTACCACGGCCTCGCAGAAGACCGGCGTGAAGTGGATGTGTCAAGCTTCTGCATTTCGTCTGGTGAGTGAGGTGGCCGGAGCCCAATCTTGAGAAGGTTGTCAACACATCTGGACCCATCGAGTGCAGTACATGTCCATGGGCGGCGATATTCACTTAACATCAGGTGAACCGTCTGCTCGCTTGGCAAATTTTCACACAAAAAAAAATTAAAAAAATAGCATGAGTACATAATGGTTTCGTTTTTGACCACAGGATTTCATAAATTGATTTCTTGTTCTACTCGAATTTTATACATTGTTAAACGAGACTATTTTTTATGAAATAAAATCAATACATAACACTGCTAGACCTCAAGACACCATAAGGTTCTTTGGAATAGATAGGAATAAAAACAAATAATAAAATAATTGATGATAGCCCGAGTTAACTCTGACATTAAAACGTGAAACAGCTCAGTCTGTCCCGTGAACTCTGGAAAGGGTTTAAAACATCAGTAATCGAAACATCTAATAACACGATGAACATCTGTAAAATATTTTCCTTTATAAGGGATTCTCATAAATTATAACAAACTAATTTTTCAGCACCAAATATATATATAATCATATATAATATAGATTTAATCTTGTAAATTAGATCAATAAAATATCTGAGAATGTTTTAAGGAGAATAAAATTGAATAATGATGAAGTGTTGTTATATTACGAAAATGTAGTATAATACTTACTAAATGTCTTTCTAGGCACTTTTTACTTTTTCTGTACTTCAAACAGAATTCGCATATGTATATGCAAGGCAAATTGACCATTTCCTGAAAGAGATCATAATAAACAACTGTTAAAAGCAATTTTATATTTAACCAAATGAAATCCACATCACAGAATTAAAATCTATTTTAATCAATTCCACACCAATTATAAGTAAGCAGTGTAATTGGAATTATTTTTAAGTAGTAATAATTTCAGAAAAATATTGAATGAAGAAAAGAAGACAAAAGATATTAACTGAATGAAAAAGACGTGTCATCTATACTCTTCTTTTTTAAGTTATCCCATATATAACAATGTAATCATTCTTTGTATATGTTTTACTAAGTTTCCAAACCTTGTAAACATTTCAAAACAAACTGCTGAGCATGTGATGAGGCAGCACTTAAAATTAACAATTTTTCTGGTACCGACACTGGGTATTTCAACTGAGGTTGCTCGAGTGTATTAATTAGTCTATTGCATCAGTGTATAGGTTTAATCCCCACTACTGGTAAAATATTGAGTGTTGCACATAGTGTTTTTTCTAGTGTCTGGGCGTTTATATATTCCATAATAAGTATTTATTTAGAAAAGAAAAATTACATTTAAGTATGTTTAACATTTACCTAGTATCCATAGTACAAGCTTTGCTTAGTTCAGAACTAGAAAACATAATGCCCTTATACACATAGTGAGCTGTCAGAGCTAGGACCATTAGTCTTTATAAGGCTAGTGCACCCACCGTGGTGCAGTTGCCAATGTATTGGTTTCGATGACGGGGGTCGTGGGTTCAATTCCCACCCAAGCACTATTTGTGTGACCCATAGATAGTTGTGTCGGATCTGGGTGTTTGTCCATGTGAAGTTTATGTATGTAAAACATCCTTACAACACAGGATTATGTTATTCTACAATATGGGGCAATGTTTTCGAAGGGAAAACTACAACAGATCTTCTAGCTCGTAGTGTTTGTTGGAAATCTTACTATCCAAGCCCTTCCACACAAAATACAATACAATGATAAGTTGCACATTCAGATTGTGAGAAATTTACATAGCCATCAGAATTGAGGTTATGAAAAAGATATTGTAAGATTGTTCTATAAAGTAGCCAATTTCAGATGTAATAGTGCGATGTAAAACATCCTTATAACACAGGATAATGTGCATAACTATACAGTAAGGGCAATGTTCTTCTACTACCTGCGGGTAGGGGGCGAAGTACCAGGGCCGTATCCTGTGCTTGCCGAGCTCGATGAGCTCGATGTTCTTCATGCGGGTGACGAGGTCGTCGTGGCCGTGCGCGACCAGGCTGCCCGACTGGCGGGGCCTGGCGGTGGGCGTGGCCGTTCCGCTCGCGACGGCTTCGCCGTCCAACGAGTCCAGGGAGGGGGGCTCCTGGGGGGGGGGGGGGCGCATTGATTACTCGATGACTCTGAGGGTTTTTTCTCGTCATCATCATCATCATTTCAGCCTCTAAAAGCCTGTATAAGCCTCCCTAAGGCCTGATGATCCTAAGCCACCTGCATCCATCGACTTCCCGCACATTCGCAGATGTCATCACAACGGTGGTAGGGCCACGCAGCAGCCTTGGCTGTTGCACGAATGGGCAGGCCCGTCCGGGTAAGTACCACAACCTAACAGAAGATCAGCGTAAAGTGGAGGTATGACAAATACTTTCACGTTTCGTCTGGTGAGTGAGGTAGCCGGAGCCCAATTTTCAAAAGGTTGTCAACGCATCTGTAACCTTCGGGTGTGGCAGATGCCCATGTGCGGCGGTATTCACTTAACATCAGGTGAACCTTTAGCTCTTTTGTCAACTTTTAGCATAAAAAAAAATCACTCCATCAAGTGGGAGGTCGTACTGGGGTGGTATTTTTTTTAAATTACACCCTACGGACTCGAGTTCCGTACCCTTTTTCGTTTTTATTTGACTCTGAGGGATTGCAGATGAACCCGACTGTCATGTCAATATGTGTAGTTATTAAAATCCAAGCCCTTGCCACACAAAATACGATACAATATACTGATAAGTTGCACACGAAGATTGTGAATTTTTGTACATAATATTAAATTGTTGTCAGAATGGAGTCTAAGTTTAGAAAGATACTGTGACAAAAATTTCAATGATCTTTCTATAAAGTATCCATTTTCAGATTTGATAGTGTAAGCTGATGTCCTTGTTTTATGCTTACCCCAGTTAAATTATTAACTAAATATAATTTGTTTGGTAAACATTGTGCACACCTCATTCTCGAGCGAGTTCGCTTTTCGTTTTCTATTAATTTTCTTCTGGAGGGCGGCTGCTAAAACAGCGCCACCGTTCACCAAGCTGTTCGTTTCTGGCAATAGTGTAGGGCTGGCTGGCCTGGAGACCAACTGACGCGGCTCACTCGTAAGAGCTGCAAACAAATTGTCATGCTACAAAAATTGAGGTCATAAAAGTGGATGACTGGTTGTGATGATTTCAACTAGCGCAGTAAAATGTTCTCAATAAAATATAAATCATTCTATATTTAGTACTAAATTTGTATTGTATTACTTTTAAATGGACATAGTACTAGTTATGAAAGATTTATTGTATATTGTCACCTTTAAAAGCCAATAGAAACAAGTTGACAGTTTATTAGCAATTTTGATATAAAGACATGCATGAATATCAATCAATATGAAAGACATGTATTTGGTTTTGGATCTTTAGGACTATCCATGTTATTATAATCATTGTCAATAATTAACAAAATTAAATTCCCTGAAAATTATTTTTAGTCAAAACTAACATCATGCAAACAATTACCGTGTCATATAAATAATAAAACGATGGAAAATAAATACAATGAGTATAACATTTGTGCGATTTGAAATAATAATTTGATAATAATAGCTTCTAAGGAAGGGTAGTAACTAGTTCTAATAATATTACTAAAAACTCAGAAAAATATAATCAAGTTAAGATTCATATCATAAACATGTCTCCACAACCAAGAAATATATAAAGCATTGTGATATATGCTATTCCTTAAATGCTCTCATAAACAACAGTTTTTATTGAAATAAAACATACCAGGTGTGTACTTTTGTGCAGAACCATTGAGGGCATTGCTATTAAGGGTTTTTTCGGGCAATTTAGGTTGAAGTTGTTGCTTTGCATTAGTGTCTCTATGGTTATTTAGAGACTTCTGGGGTTCAGGGCAGACATTATCATCTGCCAACAAAAAGTACAACATACAATTACATTTTGAAAAAACATATTTAATACACACTCAATTTTATTTTATTTTGTAATTTTCCATTAGAATAATTCAAATCTTTCCATTTCATTCTAATATAAAACATCAATGCAGCAGTCTAAAGGCACATTCATCATATACTAACCAACTAATCTGTACCACATACCAGATGCTTACAACTAACATGAAAATAGATACAAAAGAAAGTAAGGTTGTGAAGAAAATATAACATGTTTTTTTTATCAAAACAGATTTTTTTATTTAAAATAGTTGTTATGTATATGAGGGTACATAATTATGTATTACGCGAGGCGCTGGCCGAGCGCGAATAAAGACAGTGTGTAACTGACCGCCCCGTAGTTTGCTTGCATCTCTAAATACATAACAGTGGCGACGAGGATAAAAAAAAACATTATAGTCAATTTTAAAAAGGAAAGTAAACATGTCTTCGGGAATATCCTTCGGTATCCTATCAACTTTCAATCACGACTCGCAAGATTGGAACAGCTATAAATCGCGTTTAAATCAGTGGTTTATCGCAAATGACATTACCGACGAAAAGGACAAAGCCAAGGTCAAGCGTCGTGCGATATTATTGAGTGCGCTTAGCGAATCAACTTACAAGCTCGCAAGCGATTTAGCCTTACCTAAACGGATCGAGGAAACAGACTACGAAGAAATACTGGGATTGCTTGATAACCACTTTACACCTAAACGAATTGGATTCTCGGAGAAGTCGTTATTTTATTCGGCGGTGCAACGAGTGGGTGAAGGTCACACTCAATGGGCGGCCAGACTTAGAGGGTTGGCTGCACACTGTGGATTTAAGAATTTGGAAGAAGCTCTGTTGGACAGATTCATCATGGGCATGGTACCGGGACACGAACGTGATAAATTGTTTACCCAAGATCAACGGGAGCTAACTTTGGCGAAGGCAGTTGATTTGGCAGAGAGCGTGCGATGTGCACGTCAAGCTGCCATGACGGCGGGGGCATCGTCGGCTGCAGTGGGCCAAGATAGCGTATTTACCATTTCCAAAAAAGAAAAGTGCAGCGTGTGCGTGTTCACAAATCATAAAGCGATTGAGTGTCGGTTCAAAACCTATAAGTGTAAAAAGTGTAATAAGAAAGGTCACTTAGGTAGAATGTGCACGTTTAATGATAAAATCAAATTCGTGAAAGAAGGTAACATGGATGACGGAGACGATGGTAAGTCTTTTTATAATATTAAATGCGTTAATGGCGAGCCTATGACCGAAAAGGTGGATATTAGTGGTCTATTATTAGAATTTGAAATAGATAGTGGTTCCGCGGTCAGTGTAATTTCAGAAAAAACATATAAAACACATTTTTTTAAATTGCCATTGTTAGGCACTAACAAAAAATTAATGGGCTATACCGGAAACCCGATAGAAACTTGCGGAAGGGTACGTTTACCAATTTCGTACAAAGGGAGAACAAACGATCTTAACGTGTACGTGGTACGTGACGGGGGCCCGCCTCTTTTAGGGCGTGATTTCATACAAAAGTTTAAGTTGGAATTGGTTACATCTCCCGCGGTGCATGCATTATATTGGGATAAGTCAGCCAAAAATAATAGTAATGATATTCAAGATTTAATAAAAAAATTTAAAAATGTTTTTTCTGACGAGTTAGGCGCATTTAACAAGTACGCTGTAGATTTACGTTTAAAACCGGATGCAAAACCTATATTCTGTAAGGCTAGGCCAGTTCCTTATGCGTTAAAGGAAAAGATTGACAAGGAGATCGATCGTTTAGTGGAGATAGGAGTATTAGAGCCTGTACAGCATTCGGATTATGCGTCTCCAATAGTCGTCGTTTTAAAAAAAGACGGAGGCCTGCGGCTTTGTGCGGATTATTCAGTTACCATCAATAAGCAATTAATTTTAGAAAAATATCCGCTGCCGACAGTTAAAGATTTGTTCACTAAACTTAACAGGGGCATTCAATTTAGTAAATTAGACTTATCAATGGCATACAATCAATTTTTTTTAAACAATTCATCACAGAGCCTTACGTGCATAAATACACATCGCGGACTATTTAAGTATACAAGGCTCGTGTTTGGGTTGTCGTCAGCGCCAGCCATTTTTCAACGAGCGATGGAGGGTATTTTAGCTGGATTAGACGGCGTTATATTTTTTCTCGACGACGTATTAGTTACGGGCGAAAATAGGCAGCAGCATATTCAACGTTTGGCAGCGGTATTACAAACGTTTAGAGGATGCAGGTTTAACGGTTAAAGCTTCTAAATGTGAATTTTTTTAAGGATGAAATTTGCTACCTAGGTCATATAATCGACAAAAACGGGGTAAGGAAATCGCCAGACAAAGTTGAAGCTATTCTAAAAATTTCAAGACCTCAAAACATTAAACAACTTCAGTCGTTTTTGGGGTTAACAAATTATTATCGAAATTTTATACCACAAGCTGCATCAATCCTATATCCTTTGTATAAATTATTGCATAAAAATGTAAAATGGGACTGGACGCCAACACATGACGAAGCTTTTAATAAAATAAAAAACATCATGGCCACTGATGGCTATTTGGCGCATTTTGATTCCGACGCGGAATTAATATTAACCGTGGACGCGTCACCCTTGGGCTTAGGTGCCGTTTTATCACAAATCGGCAAAGACGGTGTCGAAAGGCCGGTATCATATGCGTCGAGGACACTTAACGTAGCTGAAAAAAAATACGCCCAAATTCAAAAAGAAGCGACCGCTATAATATTCGGAGTCCGACGGTTTCATCAATACTTGTATGGCAGATCGGTTCCGTTTATATTGAGAACAGATCACAAACCACTCCTCACAATTTTCGGTCCATATCGAGGTATTCCCGAAATATCCGCAAACCGCCTTCAACGTTATGCAATATTCTTATCGGCATACAATTATCGCATCGAATATGTTAAGAGTAGTGATAACAGTGCAGATTGTTTGTCGCGAGCGAGTTTCGAGGTGAATGCGACCCTTGATGCACCAGATTCACGAGAGTTAGATCGCATCGAGGATGAGAAGGTCGTTGAGGATCCGGCTGCTTACGTAAATTTCGTGGTAGACGGTAGCCTGCCAGTGACCGCGAATGACTTGCGACGAGAAACCGACAACGATACTATTCTTAGCAAAGTAAAATATTTTATACTTAACGGTTGGCCTAAAAGCGTTAAGGATGTGCAACTTAAACCATACTTTAACATAAGATTCCAATTGTCGTACGAAAACGGTATTTTAATGCGAGGCCACAAGATAATTATACCGGATTCGTTACGTGAAACTATATGTAAGGAGTTGCACAGTTCGCATTTCGGCGTCGTTAAAATGAAAGCCGAGGCGCGCAGACGGTTGTGGTTCCCCGGTGTGGACAATGCGCTCGAGAGGCTGGCAGCCGCGTGCACCGTGTGCGCAGCGCTGCGACCTCTTCCGCCGCACGCACCCCTCGCCCCTCAATACCCCATACATTAGTAACTGACAATGGCACTTCGTTCACTTCTCAAGTATTTAAAGAATTTTGTTTAGCAAATGGTATAAACCATGTATTTTCTCCTACATATCACCCTGCTAGCAACGGTCAGGCCGAAAGTTTCGTTAAATTTATTAAAAAAGGTCTTAAAACAATAATATTAACTAACACAAAAAACAAAATGCTACAACAGTATATTTCAAAATTTTTATTTGACTATAGGAATTCTAAAAACAGTACCACTAATAAATCGCCAGCGGAGTTAGTTTACGGCAAGCCATTACGCTCGAGACTAGATCTAATTTTACCAACAGAAAAAAAGTCGCCTCCCTCATCCTCAGACCTTATTCAAACGGTAGCACAAAAACAGTACTTACAGGCTAAAAACTATAAAGGAACTCCAAGAAACGAATTTAAAATAAATGATCTAGTATGGATAACGAAATATACAGATAATAAAAAGTTTCATTGGGTTCAAGGCATAGTTAGGAACAGACTTAGTAAAGTAATGTATACAGTTTTTGTGCCACAGCATAACTGTGAGATGACGCGGCATGTGGACCAAATTAGAGCTCGTACACCCGCATGTGAGCCCAAAAACCTTGAAGGTTGGAGTCCCGATGTCGTCCCCGACATCCAATCAAGCGCTCAGGGCAGTAATGATTGCGAATTCTCGGAGAGGCTTAATGTATCGTCGCCCGCACGAGCGGACCCGGGGGAAAAGGAGAATGAGGATATCGCTAGCCCGCCCCTGGATTTGAACCTCGCGACATCTCCTGCGGTGCCCGTCCCGCGCAGGCGCGAGCTGACACCGATCCGCTCCGACTCGCCCGGCGAACGTGACGATGATAGTGATGAACTTAACCAACCAAACTCATTCCTAAGCTTTAAAAGATTTTTTTAGTTTAAGTTATCTCGATTTATTTATTCTATTTTGCTTTTCATTTGTTAATATTAGTTAATTATTCAGTTTATTCTTCCGTATTGTTACTATGGCTAAAAGGTGGAGGGAATGTTATGTATATGAGGGTACATAATTATGTATTACGCGAGGCGCTGGCCGAGCGCGAATAAAGACAGTGTGTAACTGACCGCCCCGTAGTTTGCTTGCATCTCTAAATACATAACAATAGTAATATTTTTATTTCAAATTTATAAAGTACTATGCTGGTAGGTAAGTTTTGACTACATAATTAAAGAGATAACTATATGCACAGGCAAACAATGGAAAGATGTGTGAAGTATAATTTGAAAAGTGCAGTAAACAAATTATACAGTAACTAATGTCTTACACCCAGAAACCAAAGTTAGCGCTTTGTAAAGTAAGAGGACATAATATTTCAACAGGCTTAATCAATGTCAAGATCCCTTTACATCTTAAAATTATTTCTTTGATAAGGAGGTTTCATTAGCAATTATGTGTTAAGTGAGCACATAAAGTTGTTTTAACAATATCACTGGCGCAAGCACTGTAATTTTAACGTGTGTTGCTTGATATAACTGAATATATTCATATATTAAATTCAGACTTAAAAAGTAAAATAGCCAGATTCAAGAAGGACAAAGATTTGATGCTATTTAAGCACTAACTAATGTTTCTTAGCATGGAAACAATTTTTTTTTTCATTCAATTATAGAAAACAAAAAATGATCACTTACACAGTGTAACACTAAGTGTTGAATTTTATATATTGTACACAATTACAAATGTTTGAAATAATTACTAAACTATTTTTTACCAAACATATTTGTGGTAACACAACCCTTTCTATAATTGAACAAAATTGTATAAAGGAATATTTAGGTAAATTAACAAATCCTTTCTGCGCTATGACTGGTGAAAAAAAAGACAAAACACACATACTAATAAATTGAGGCATTATGCCACCTCCTGATCCAATATGTGTTTTCTTCGGAGTTGTTGTGCCACCGGAAGGTGCACCATCCCTTCTTGGGAATTGAACCTTTCGTGTATCCAGCCATGACTCTCCAACCCACTCATCCAAGCGTTTGTTAACTGGAACGAGATATTTGTATTTATAGAATTTTTTTCTTAAATAAGTATCAACCATTAACAGAAAACAGTGATTTTTTGAAAGTCATATATATAAACACTGATAAGTTGTTTTCCTAATTAAGTTATAGTATTTTGAAAAGTGGGATTGTAATTTTTTAACAAATCCATTAATTATACAAGTTTTTCCAGCAATATGATGGAATACACACTACACAATACAACCCAACCAGATAACAGCTACCAATCGAGCTGAGGTCCGGCCCTCTTGTGCACCCTCGAATGCTAAACGCGTATGAGTGACATCCCAAGCCGAGGTCGGGGACCCTTGAGCCTAGTCACTCCATGGAGCGTCCGCGAAAGCGCCCTAAGAGCTTGGAGGCCTCTCAAACCAGTGAAAATAATAGCGTGACGGCACGAGCCGGGGCTCCCTCCGGAGCCCTCGAACTTCAGTCACCATAACGCGTAATAATAATACGCCGAGGTTCGCCTCAAGTCCAGCGAAACTGTAAAGGCCCCTAAGCCAACAGTGGCTCATCAAGCAAAAAAAAAAAAATAAAAGGCTATTACTTTCAGAATGAGCCATCAAACCGATCTACTGTTGATATTCACATAGGCTAAAATAAGACTATTGTAGCAGTATCATGTTATATTGTTAACAGAAATTGTAAAAAAAAAACAACTTTTGAATTTCTTGCCAGCCTCTCTTCTCAACAGAAACTGCTTTCTGAGCCGGTGGTAATTTACTTACGAACTAATGTATCAATTTTTATCTAAAATTCGACGTTTCATAAGAACATACCAGCATCTATTTTAATAAAGATATTTTGAGTATGAGTTGTTTATAATAAATTGCCAGACAAATCTAACACACACACACGCACACATAGTGCTACCAAACAACACAACAGAGTTTGACTTCAATCTTGAACTCTTTATTGCATTCACTGAGTGTAACACTCTCATTCTAAGGGAGTTCTCACCACTACCATTCAGCAATGAATAATGGGACCTACACTCTGTATGGTCCAGTCTATGCACCCTACTTTGACAACCCTTAGCTGACTACCTCATCATATAACCAACACATACATGACTATAGCTTAGGGTTCATGCAACTTGAGGAAACTAGTTTTTCCACAGGTTAAATACTGGGTGAAGCTTTATGCTTTTTGAGACCGAAAGTGTAACTTTGGTTATTATGTGGGAAGGTGGAAAATGAGCTGGCAGTTCAACTAATGTTAAATGACAACCACCATATTGACAAAGTACTATATTGACATTTGCAACACCCATAGGGTTGCAGATGCATTGCCACTTTTTAATAAAGTAGGCCCGGCCACCTCACTTGCCAGACTAAACACAGAAGTTTTCTGTGAGGGTGTGCTACTTACCTGGACTGACCTGCCCATTCATGCAACAGCCGACTGTTGCATGGCCCTACCATATATTATTGTACTTAATGATTTGGTAATACTTCTCTACTGATTAAATTTGTATACAAAAAAATGTGTGAACCTCTCTTGTTAACAATTAAACCTTAAATTCTATCAATAAAATAAAACAAAAAACTAATGTTTTATTTTAGCCACATCTTTACACATATATATATATATATATATATAATATATAAGAACTACTCCTAAGCGGCTGGACCAATTTTAATGAAATTTTTGTGTGTCTTCAGGTTGATTCGAGAATGGTTTAGATTCACAATATTTTTTTATGTTATCAGATTTAAGTCATGTGTACAGGATATCATCTGCCCGGTGTACTAGTTATACATATAATTTAATGAAACTTATTACAGTATTGTATTGACAATATCTTTACAATGTTAATAAAAAATTTGTATAACTTGATAAACAGTTAGATTCATGTCATTTTGCTGCTATAAATTCTTCCAATATTGTAATACACATATGCACAACAATTCAAAAACTTAGATGTAAATGAATACAGAAACCCTATCATTAACACTAATTGAATGTTGTATTAATTTGCATCGAAATAAATAAATAAATAAATAAATTTTATTTATTTTCAATAAATAATCTTAAAACGCCCATTTGTGTACACAATTGATAAAATAGTTTTATATCTGTGATCATAATTACTAATAAACATAAAAATCAGTATTACTTACAGTCAACATAATGAACGTAAAAACCACGTTGTCCTCTGACTTCCTTTATGCTTATGATCTCTGCTAGAGGCCAATCATCACCGCCTTGCATGCGAACTGGCAAACGACAACCCTCCACCAGTGCTGACTGTAAAAAGCAGTTAAGCCATAAAAAGCTTTGTTCAAATTTTTTGTCATTACACTCATTTTATGTTGTCAATAAACATAAAAATCACCGTGGAATCACAAAATGTCGTAACTTCGTCCTCATTTTCGTTCATTTTTTAAAAAAACACAATAACAGTATGAATAAATACAAGCTTGTCAAACAAATATCTGTCAGTAGTGGTGGGCGATACATATCGTATCAGATATGAAAACTAGATATTAGTACAATATCCGAATATCGCTTACTGGCTCGTTCAATATCTATGTATTTTACAATATCTGATATTTCCGAAATCTGATGTAACGTGCTCGCTCGCTATACCGACACGAATCGCGATATCATACGCGTTTGCCACAATATCTGATTTTTAAACAGATTTCGAGAGACAAAGCGCGTGAGATACAAATACTCACTAGTTAGAGCGGGACGGCAAGCAATGCACGATATCAGATATCGAGCGACAAAGCGCGTGAGATATAAATACTCACTAGTTAGAGCGGGACGGCAAGCAATGCACCATATCAGATATCGAGAGACAAAGCGCGTGAGATACAAATACTCACTAGTTAGAGCGGGACGGCAAGCAATGCACGATATCAGATATCGAGCGACAGAGCGCGTCAGATATAAATACTCACTAGTTAGAGCGGGACGGCAAGCAATGCACGATATCAGATATCAGATATCGAGAGACAAAGCGCGTGAGATACAAATACTCACTAGTTAGAGCGGGACGGCAAGCAATGCGATATCAGATATAAAATATAAATACTCACTAGTTAGAGCGGGACGGCAAGCAATGCACGATATCAGATTTTTTTAAACAGATTTTGAGCGACAAAGCGCGTGAGATATAAATACTCACTAGTTAGAGCGGGACGGCAAGCAATGCACGATATCAGATTTTTAAACAGATTTTGAGCGACAAAGCGCGTGAGATACAAATATTACACTAGTTAGAGCAGTACGGCAAGCAAGGCACAATATCAGATTTTTAAACAGAAATTTTGAATAAGTTAAGCAATTTTGAATCTTAAAACCATGCTCATAAGATCCGTTTCAATTAAATACTAATCATGGTATCAACGATTACTACAACGATATTAATAAGTATATTTTTATTGTTTTGTTTAGCCTTGAGCCGTAACGGGCGACAAAGCGCGTAGTTAAGTAATTTTGAATCTTAACAGCATGGAAAAAACATTTTTAGTTGCATTTAAATACGAATTACGGTATTAACGATGTCTTTAAATTTTGTTTAACCTTGAGCTGGATTGCATTGGTACCTAGCACGTAATAAATAGTAAGGGATGCCAACTTACTACTTAAGAATTTTCTGCCTAAATTGAGGAAGAAAAATATAAATGGAAATTTTTTAGGAGGTAAATTTTTTGTGAATATTTTTATTCGTTAAATTTTATTCATATTTTTGGAAAAAAAATAAAACTACACAAAAAGAAAAATATAATTTAATAGTGTTGTGCTGCTTGGGTGGAAATCAGACCAAGGCTTATGTGCTTTGTGTGTATATTTTAAATTCTTCCGCCCTAAGTTATAATACTGAATGTATTATTTCTTACACAAATTATAAAAATATTGTCACTAATGATTGCGTGTTCTAAGAATATGTTAAACTCAATTATTTTAAGCGATATATAAGATGTTGAAATAAATCATTTTTATATTACTTAGTTTCGAAATCTGATATTTGAAATCGAAATCTGATTCAGATACATTTTCATATCTAGATATTTTACGGTCCCGTATCCACCTTGAATTCTAAAAAAAAAAGAAAAATAATAATAATAAAAAAATAAATTTCATTAAAAATAGAAATTGAAGTAATATAAAAATGATTTATTTCAACATCTTATATATCGCTTGCACCAGCAATGCAATCCAGCTCAAGGTTAAACAAAATTTAAAGACATCGTTAATACCGTAATTCGTATTTAAATGCAACTAAAAATGTTTTTTTCCATGCTGTTAAGATTCAAAATTACTTAACTACGCGCTTTGTCGCCCGTTACGGCTCAAGGCTAAACAAAACAATAAAAATATACTTAATAATATCGTTGTAGTAATCATTGATACCATGATTAGTATTTAATTGAAACGGATCTTATGGGCATGGTTTTAAGATTCAAAATTACTTAACTTATTCAAAATATCTGTTTAAAAATCTGATATTGTGCCTTGCTTGCCGTACTGCTCTAACTAGTGTAATATTTGTATCTCACGCGCTTTGTCGCTCAAAATCTGTTTAAAAATCTGATATCGTGCATTGCTTGCCGTCCCGCTCTAACTAGTGAGTATTTATATCTCACGTGCTCTGTCGCTCGATATCTGATATCGTGCATTGCTTGCTGTCCCGCTCTAACTAGTGAGTATTTTTATCTCACGCGCTATGTCGCTCGATATCTGATATCGTGCATTGCTTGCCGTCCCGCTCTAACTAGTGAGTATTTATATCTGACGCGCTCTGTCGCTCGATATCTGATATCGTGCATTGCTGCCGTCCCGCTCTAACTAGTGAGTATTTGTATCTCACGCGCTTTGTCTCTCGAAATCTGTTTAAAAATCAGATATTGTGGCAAACGCGTATGATATCGCGATTCGTGTCGGTATAGCGAGCGAGCACGTTACATCAGATTTCGGAAATATCAGATATTGTAAAATACATAGATATTGAACGAGCCAGTAAGCGATATTCGGATATTGTACTAATACTAGTTTTCATATCTGATACGATATGTATCGCCCACCACTAGCTACGAGGTACAGGTAACCTAGGAAATAGGAATGGTTTGAGTCTTTGCTTTGAGTTTTGAGGTTACTAATAAAACAAATATTTTAAACTTCCAAATTTATATTTAATTCCCAGTTTTGTCAATATTGCAATAATAAAAAAAATAAAAAATGGCGACTCCAAATGAGATGAGTGAAGCTGATCAAATTAAGACAGTAAATACATGTATAAACATTTAGAATTATTGATTTTTGATATTTCGTGTTACATTTGTCCATTTTCTTATTTCAGTTTAAAGATTTTCTCGTGCAGTACAATAAATTATCTGAACTATGTTTCAATGATTGTATTCATGACTTCACGTCAAGAACTTTAAGATCGACAGAGGTAAAAATTAATTTGTTGTATCTCGACGATATATCTGTAACTTCTATCGTATTACTATTTTATTTATCATAGTTCTTCCTAAATTGTGGTTATGGAAGATGGCAATCTTCCTGACATAATTTTGATACATACCATATTGTTTATGTAGTTTAAACACTAGGTAATGTTCTTTCAGTCATATTCCTAAATTTATATATGTTAATAAATTTAAGAAACTAAATAGACATTATGTAAATCTTGTTTATTTTTGTCTTTTTTATTTACAGGAAAAATGCACATTAAACTGCATGGAGAAGTATTTAAGAATGAATCAAAGAGTCTCTCAAAGATTCCATGAATTCCAGATGATAGCTAATGAAAATATGTTAGCATTAGCTCAAAAGTCTGGAAATCCTAGTTAGTCATATTTTCCACAAATGTTTTTATTTATAATTTAGGGTGTTATTTTAAATGTCAGTGAATATAGTGTTGTTAAATTGAACCTGTGTCTTTAAGTTTATAAGAGTGACGAGGAAGTTAGGGAGAGATATTTTACGTGGCAGTATGTTAACAGGCTAATCATATTTACAATATAACATTGATAAAAGGTTGTGTTCTAAAGATTACCGTTTTATTTTAAATTATATAATTAAATCGGTAAATATAGCAATCATTAATGAAGTATTGATTTTATTGATGTGTGGCCTAAATGGTTCATTGAAAAATTATCATTTTCTTTAAATATTTATAAAGTTCTGTAAATATTCAGCTGAAAATATTTAAGTCATTGAAAACTAGCATACATAATATGCTAAAAATATTAAATGTGTATGGGCTTCTTATTTTGATTAATTCATTAGAACATAGGGTAAATGTAAATAACTTTAACTCCGGCGTAATTCAATTAAAATAAATTTTAAACCATAGAGAAAAATCACTAATTGTCAATATGTCAATTCTGCTCGTATTTCTAGGTGGTCATAAAAAAAAAACCTAACCTCGAAGGTTAAGGTGGGAGCTCTGCTCCCGCCTGAACCTTTAACCTAATCTATCCGAGTCGGATTCGCTCTGTCGGTTCTGTGGCTCATTAAATAAAAAAAAATAGGACTATCGATACGTGTATGATGTCGCCCACTTCCTATATTTATCATGTAGGCAGAACTGTGTATTGAGTTTTTGAAGTCAGACAAATAAAATGGTGGATTTCTTAGTAAAAATAACAAGTTTTAAATATTTTTTTCTCGAAAACTATAAGCGACCGCCGAATTCTGCTTGTTGATTAATTCATTAGAGATTTATCTCTATCGTTTAAAATTTATTTTAATTGAATTACGCCAGGGTTAAAGTTATTTACATTTGCCGAACATAGATCGGTAGTTTGCAAAATTTTCACATCTGTGTATTAAAATTATTATTGTCCAAGGGAAACAAATATGGGCATTAGGAAACATCTGCTGATAAAGGTTATTTTCAATTACTTTGGCTACATAGCTTTTAAGTTCATATTATACCAATGTAGTTGGTGTAGTTTTTTCTTGACAAGTTGTTATGAAAATAAATTTTAATAATAAATCCAGAATTAAGAATAATTTATCAAAAAGATCTGAAATCTATGAGAAAAGATAAGACAAAGTACTTAGTTAAGTAATAAAATATATATATAAGTCAGATTGTTTATTTGGTGTTTTAGCAGTAAGTTTCAAGTAAAACTATGTATTCAACTGTGAAAATATGTTTGTAAACCGAAAAACTATTTTAGTCAAACTAAAACTAGTGTAGTGACTGATTATTTTATTTCACAAAGCATGCATGTGGCACTCTTGGGGCATGTCTTATAACATTTTTGGTTTGGTGGCGAGAAGTCTAGCACGAAGGAAGACTGTGAGCTTGTATAGTCAAACTGATAGTCGTTAAACTTCGCTTCCACGCTGTATTTTGCGGCGCCTTCTCTATCTTCTGGATTATCAGTGTCGACGGTGTTCAGGACATATTTTAGCGGGTAAGGTCCCGACGGCGCGTTACTGATTTTGGACGGTTTCGTGCAGATGCTGTATTGGCCACCGTGTCTGATAATTCTTATGAGCGGTTGACCGAAAATGGCTTGTTTGAGACACGAATTGGTTGAGGGGCATACAGAGATGCATTTGGGGGTGTTGCAACAGGGCTTCAGGCAAGTCGGCCGTGAACAAGATCTCGAGCAAGGGGCGCACTCTCCGGTCTTGGTACAGTTGTGACGCTCGATTTTTTTCAGAACAGAACAGGAGATGTGACCAGGTCGCCAGCCACAACGAAGCTGTAAAATGACCATACGTATCATATAACGTTTATGTATAAGTACGCAATCAAGCAGGTGGCCCAGAATCGGGCTTCGTGGCACTCTGGATGTTCAGCTGTGGACTCAAACAATGTGACACAGTGAAACAGTGGCTGAAAATTATATTGCGTCATCATCATCATCTGATGATGATGAAGCAATATAATATAGTGTACTCAATAGTAATTATCATCGGAAAATTTATTTTACTTTAGTGTACATTTATATTTTAGTCTGCTGAGGTAAGGCCACACAACGAATGAGCAGGTCCATCCGGGTAAGTATCACGACCTCAGAAGATCTGCATGACGTGTTATATGTATTTCTGCTTTTTTGTGTGGTGAGTGATGTAGCCTACGGGTGTTACAAATGTCAATATAAAAAAAAAAAAAATCATTTTGTCGCAATAATAGATTAGCTTGTGGGCTTCTTGAAAATTTTTACAAAACAAGCATAAAGCATTCCATTGTACCTGATGTTCGGGTGCATCCTTCGCGGTATAATGCCATCCCATGTTCTTGGGCACGGGGCCACTTTTTACATCGTCTTTTTTAAGACATCGATGCTTTGGAAGGTCACATCGCCCCAAGCAACTCACCGATGCCTTATTTGCTGATGGGATATTTAAAATTCAATATTTTAAATGATTATTAATATTAATGCGAATAATTTCACAATACATTGATTCGATAGTAGTCGAAGGCACAGGTTTAAATAGACAGCGACGAAAAATTTTAAAACAATACATACTTTAAAAACAATATCCTACTGTGGGATATGATTTTACAGTGTTCCGGATGCGTTTAAGTTACATTGTTGATTACACGTAAAGAAGATGTTTCGAAAGAATTATTTGTAGGTCATAAAAATGATTTCACGTTTCCAAATAGAATCAACGACCAGCTGTGTATGATAAAATTTAAAAATGTTCAGGTCGATCACGCAGAGAAATACCGAGCACAGCCTGCTCTATAGCTCGCTGAGCGACTTGAACTTCCTCACTAAATGTCCTAGGTAAACATTCGTCAACTACTTCGAGCACAGTACTCTCCCAATAACAACCGGTATAGGCGTGACATGGACGTTAGACATGATCTTAGTCCTATCCATGTTCATCTTAACGGGTGGGCCGTAGGGAGACACTGTTGAGGTCATTGAGCATGTTACCAAGGTCCTACAGAGATTCTGCCATGATGACTATGTCATCGGCAAATCCAAGATGGGTGCGGTATTCGAAGTTAATACCACGTCCTTTTCAGCTCGCAAACCTCTTTCAATGCAGCCTTACACCCTCCAATCGCTTATTCATGTCCCATTGCTGGGCAAAGGCATCCTTTATACAGAGAACTTGGTCTACCACGCGGCCCCATTGCGGATTGGCAGAGTTCACATATCTTCTAAATATTTTTTTTTGTTTTTATTTCGAAAATATGCAGGTGTCCACGATATTTTCCTTCACCGTGGAGCACGTGATAAGTCAGCACTTAAAATGAACAATTTCATAGGTACCGGCACCGGGGATCGAATTCAAGTTGCTCGAGTATACTCATTTAAAGGCGAGCGACCGGACAATGAGCTATCACGGCTCTATATCAATCTATATACCGACAGTCAATTAGGCACCGCTGAAGGGCCTGGAATACCCTCCAAATTTCGAAAGAAAGAAGGTTTTCTCATTGTCCACATATGCTAGGCATAAAGGCAGATTATACTCTTCTGTCTTCTGTTGTTCAAGAATACGTTACAAAAATAACATAACAAGCTTATGTTACTTACTTCGTGGAGTCTTACAACAACAAGCCATTTTTCTTTTTTTTTTATTTAATCTGAAAAATTTTATGGATATTTTTTATTATACAGTAATATTTTTTTTCTTATTGTAAAGAAGAAGAATTTATATAGTGACACCACCCGCGTTAAAAGTACTCGCGTTTTTTTTAATTAGTAAAACGGGGTTCGATTTATTGTATTATTTATAAATATGTGTTGCAATTTTTATATAGTTTTTGTATGATTTACATGCTTTATCTAAGTAGAACAAGTCTTTTAATAGTGGTAGAGTCATGTAGAGCAAGTGGATTATATTGTTGCATGAATAGGTCATTTCATCCTAGAAAGTCCCACAGAAGAGGGTACTCGTAAATGTATTTTTACTTTTTTATTTTGTCTCTGTTTTATTATGGCGGTGATAATTACTTTGGGACGAATGTTTTCTCGTTTGCTTTCTCGTCGCATAGTGAAAAAATTAAACTTGCATAAGCAGACGTGAATACAATAATAAAGCTTCTGATGTTGCAAGAATGGGCGGGCTTATCCTAAAAGGACAACAGCCTTACAAAAACTAAACTTCTTAATTTCGCGATTCGTTTGGTGAGTGAGTTAACCGGGGATCACTGTTTTTTAAAGGGTGCCAACGCATCTGCAAGCTCTCAGTTAACATCAGGTTAACCACCAGTTCGCTTAGTAACTTTTGATATTAAAAACATTTTATAACATATAGGTAGTGAAATTACATGCCGATTTAAACAATTGGGGTGGAAATAATTACTGTGAAAATTATTGTCTGTTTAGCAGGTAGTAGCGTTCTGTAGCCACGTAACGAAAAGCAGGGACAGTTTGCAGAACAAAATGCATTTAAAGGTTAATCATTTTATCAGTAGGCAGTAACTACGGTAAAAATTCCGAACAGTACGTCTCGTTTTTCAAGCTAGAAAAAAATTTTAATCGATAGAGAAATGTTAATAATTAAATATTACATACATGAAAACCAAGGCAAACACTTACTTTTAATAAAAAAAAAATATTTAAAACTTGTTATTTGCACTAAATAAATCCGCCATTTTGTGTTTGACAACATGTATAAATTAACGAATTCACACACTTCCAAATTATAACCTTCGCATTATTAAAAAAGAGTCTTTAAAAATACTAAAAGTACTGTTACACTAAAGTTTTCTGGGTAGTCATAAAAAAAGAACCTAACAACGAAGCCTAAGGCGGGAGCGAAGCTCCCGCCTTAACCTTCTAACCTAACCTATCCGAGTCGGATCGCTCTGTGTCGGATCTGTGACTCATTTTGAACCTATCTAATATTCGAGACATTAAGTGTACACTAAGTCACAAATTTTAAATTTTAGAAATTGTTAATAATACATGTTCATGAAGTAGAAACTTGTGTTTTTGTGATATATCTGTGTATTTGTGTCTTCTTACAACGTAAAAAGTGAAAACGTAAGTTTTTAACTTAAAATACTAGTCTATAATGAATAATGGACGCACAGTAATGACGGATTTCAGTTGTATGAAATTTAAAAACTTTGTTAATTTTTTCCTCATAATCTAGTGGTTTTCATTGAACTTATATAATATTTAGTTATTAACATTTCTCTATAGATTAAAATTTTTTTCTAGCTTGAAAAACGAGACGTACTATTCGGAATATTAGCCGTAACTACTTGTAACACTGAATGCATGCAATGCATTTACAGTACGGAAAACTTACCTTTGGGTGAAGTCACGGATGCGTATTTCGATCCGTGCATGTTGTTTTTGATGGACAAAACTTCGTTTCCTTCGATTAAAGCATATTTCATAGTATTATAGCGACATAGGTACCTTGATTTGTTACATAAACATATTTCTCAAATATTCTCTTCAGCCTGACATTGTGCTTGTCAAACACAGAAAAAGGTTTTGTTAATAGAGAAGGTACATATTTTAAGGCCTGTGTTTTTCATTGAGACTATTACTAAAATTATAAACACCAGTAATAATATAATAATGGCAAATTTCGTATAGATGAAAACACAATAATAAAACTGTATACCTACAGTAAAAAAAAGAAGTTTTGTCGTCTTACTTTTCACCCAGATTAGATAGTTAAGGCTACTTACGGTGTAAGGAGTACTGAGAATCCGATAAATGAATCGTGTGTGACAGAAAACAAAAACGATACAGCTTTTCATAAAATTATATATTACGATATAATTGTACTTCAGAGCTCTTGTTTAAACAGGTCAACGCGTCCATAAGAGCGAGTAAACCCGAAATCCATCCTCTTGAAACTTAAAAATAAGTACGTAGATTTATAAATTTTGAAAAAGGAAATAATCCTACTGCGTTTTTAAAGATGTCGTTTGAATGGTATTTTTTTTGTATCCTATTATAATATTGTTTCACAATATGGCATCTGGTAGTCGTCGTGTTAAATTCTTATTACAGTCATGTCTTTAGAGAAAGCCGAAACGTGCTAGAATAAGATATTTCCATCGATGTAAGAATCACCAAAATCGGTCCTAGCTTTCGGTCTCCTGAGCAACCCAAAGGGACAAACACTCGTACAATTACTGTGGTAGGGCCACACAGCATCTTCTGTTGTTGCACGAATGGGCAGGCTCATCCGGAGAAGTACCATGGCTACACAGAAGATCAGCATGAAGTGGAAATATTATACTTTCCGATTTCGGCTGGTGTGTGGGTAACCGCGGCCCACTTTGGTTGGCAACGGATCTGTGACATTTCAGATGCTGTAGAAGTCAATGGGCGGCGGTAATGACTAAACATCAGTCCACCCGTCTACTCGCTTACCTTATCTTTATATATATAAAACTACTGTACGTATGTATGTCGCTGAAACCCTCCTAAACCGATTTTAATGAAATTTTTTGTGTCTTCAGGTCGATTCGTGAATGGTTTAGATTCACAATTCGGTCCACTTCAATTTTTGAAGTGAAAACTTCTTTTAGCGCGGTACGCTTATTTTTAGATGAGATAAAATCTCTGGACTCGCCACACCGTTACGAGACGCAGCTATAGTGTGTGCTTAATTGAATTTTTGAATAGAGAATTTTATTTTACTATGTCAAATCAACGCAATATTAGCACAACGAGATATAAAAGATTGATGCGGTATTCGCGAGATATTTAAATAATTTCGAATCAAAATTGTTTATTTATATTATTTAATTTATCTAAAAAATTTCTAACGCGCCACAATAAGTTTTCACTTCTGTCGGCACTCCCGGAGTGCAACCCGTATTTTTTTTTCATTTTTAATTTGTCAAAATTAAGTCGTTTGAACAGGACATTTGTCCGGTCCGCTAGTGCTCATATAAAAAATTAACCAAATGTGCTGATGAATACATTCCACAGTCCGTCGTAAAAGATAAACTTAGCCCACCTGCCATTATCAATGACAGTCAAGGTACCTTGACTTTGATTAGCATCACCGATACTTAATCATAAGTTCTTTTAATCATTGCGACATATTATTGCCCTTCACATAATTATTGAATTGCTTCTTATTGCTTTTGCTTCAGACACACCTGGTTCATTGCTCACATTGCTGTTTTACTGTAAATACATATACTTATGAAGGAAGCAACAGTCTCAGTTCAGGGGTTATCTCTTTTAACCAAAACAAAAACTATTGAATAAATCGTTTATTTACGTTTCAATTTTTTGTTTTTCGTGACTTCTTTTTTTCTTTTAAAGCAACAAAACGAAAGCGTGATTTTCAAGATAGCAGCCACTAAAAATATTATCGTAATGTATACAACCGCGACGTCAAGGTTGGTGTACTGATACCAAGGAACGTCTGCCGCCGCAGTTCTGAACGTTAAATTTGAATATCGCGCTGCGAATTCCGTCCAATATATTGCGGTATCCAGCGGTGGCATCGGACGATCGTGCCAAGCCTTTGACACGAGTTTCACGTTGGCGCTGAACCTGAAAGAATGTTTGTCATGTTATTAAGCCTATTTCTTTTCCTTCATATTACATGTAGGTATTATCGCTGGTACATTTATAAATGCCTAATTGTCTATAGTTTTATTGTCTAACAATTATAGTTTGTAATACTGTAACTGCATGAAGTGCAAGTGTTGTACGTTACGTTAACCGGTAAAATAAGTTACGTACCACTATGATGTAAGAAGAAAAGTAAAATATTTTCTCAAAAAAAAAAATGGGCACGCATTCCATCGCGTTGTGCGACAAAAAATCAGACGAATTTAATGTCAACGGCTTAACATTAATAAGGTTCAAGAAATGGATTAGTTTCCATGCGCTAGTTGGTTTCTCTTTTCATTTAGTTTGATAAAGATTTTTTTCCGTTTTTATAGATTATGATCCGGAACCCTTCATGCGCGAGTCCGACTCGCGTTTGGCCGGTTTTTAAATAAACTATACTCCTAATAAAAAAATTACTAGATCCCTTGTCATTCAATGTTTAAATCCTACATACTTTGGTTCCATTACTGTCTTCAAGGCGGCGACTAAGCTCTGCTTGGTTAAATCCCTGATGTGCAACTGCACTCCAAGACCACTCTCTTCGATGGACGCGGCGTTCGCGGGCTGATCTCCAAAAACCGGCATGGCTACCATTGGGACACCAAAGTGGAGAGCCTCAGTTGTACCGCCCATGCCAGCATGGGAAAAGAAGGCCAGGGTTTTTGGGTGGTCTGTAAAATGTTTACCGAACGAAACGTTATAACATACGCATAACGCAATTTATGAATATATTAACAATAAAGTTTTCATGCACTTTAGCACAGTTAAAAGGAAAGAATATATAAGTAACACACATGCGTACTTAAAATGTCAACTTGAGGTAGCCAATCGTCGACGTAAAGCTTATTTTCGTTATCGACAAGCAAAGTTTTATTGTCGAATCTCCAAATAAACCTTTGAGGTAATTCTCTTATAGCCCCCAGTATCGCTTCGAGGTTGGAACTGGGCAACGTAGAACTTTTAATAACTGATCCAAAACTTATATATATTACCCCATGCTCTGCTTCCTCGACAAACTTTCTGAGCTCCTGTGAAAAAATCGGTTTAATATATGACAATTTCTTAAATTTATGCAACTATTTTTACGGATTTCGATTGATTGACTAGATTATAGTATCTTATTGAATTCGAAGATCATAGGAAAAATTTTTAAAACTGAAAATGAATCCTGTCCCCTTCCATTTGATTAGCTACATTTGTTACTTAAAAATTGTAATTTATGTATTTGTGAAACTGCATTGTGTACAATTACTTGTTGATGAGGTACTTTGAATGGTTTTGGTAGAAACCTCAGTTTGTTATGAAGGTATTTTGATTAGTGAGTGGAAGATAAAATAACTTTCATACATACTCATACTTAATCTACACATTATTACGAATTTCATTGTGTTCCAAGAGATATGTAGGTTAATAAGCTGCTATCGGTATCGTTTATAATCTTACGCAACATTTTTAAAACTTACAAACTTGTAAACATCATTTCAAATTCAAACTCAAAAATCGTTGAACTCTTAGAGTTGTATCGAAATCTTGTTTTTACGCGTATGTTATACATATGAAACTATTTGATTAATTTGAAACTATTTTATGGATTTTATCGCGTTTTAATTTGATTTTTAGATTCCCGACGCTTTGAAAATTTGAACCCTTTAAGCGTTTATGGTCACGAGACAAAAAAAGAGTTTTTAACGTCGTTTTTGGCCTTCATGTTAGTTAATCTGGGCTACCGTCACTAATTTTTTTTTTCCAAATTAAAACGCGATAAAATCCATAAATTAGTTTCATTTAATATCTGTATTAAGTACTTTAGATCATTATTCATCAAAGATTGTGTCAACATAGTATTTAAGTGCCCATGTAGTGTATAAATTCAAAAGATAGTAATTTATATTTCACAGGTTTACTTACACCGGTCAATGGCTTGGCTTTTTGCACATGGTAACCACCGATTTCAATGACGTTAGCGGGAAATAAACTAGATCCCGTTAGAATAAAGTTGTGATATAAAAGCAAGAATTTAATTTCCCGCGCTAAATCTTCTAAAGGTGGAATATCGTCGAAATATCGAGCAAGAGTATTTTGATCGCTCCTTTGCGAAACCAAATAATAAATTGTTTTGAAATAAAGGTCGAACACAACCCTCTCTAGTCGCTGAGCGAAGGTCGGCTTTGTACCACCTTCGAGGAAATGGAACGAGACGTACGAGGGATTGTTTGGTATACCTAGCCGGCTGTAGTGCCAAGGCATCAATATATGCGACGTGATTCCCACAACTGGCGCGTTTAACTTGTACGCGATACCAAGAGCACAGTCACTGTTAAATTGCTCAACTACAACAACGTCGAACTTCGGTTTTCGCTCAATCATTCCCTGCACGTTTTCATTAGCTAACATCACTTCACAATTTTCTTTACCCGACGTTGTAAGAAATATTGCGACTTGAAGAATTGTCATGAATGATCTTTCTAACGGCATGTCATCCTCCAATATCTTTATGCTTCCCGCCAAGCTGATGTCGTGATAGTTCTTTGGCGGATCTTTTTCGGGGAAGTGGGATATAACGGTGACATTATGGCCTCGATTCGCCAGTTCCCGCAGATAGATTCTGTGCACGATGAAATGACTCTTGCCTTGATACGGAAATATGGCTAATATGTTTAACGAACTCACACAACTTAATAGAAATGTTATTATTAAAGGTATAAACGCCTTCATCGCGAAGGTTAACAGCCGTCCGCTTACGGGCGGGCGTTGCTTGCACTGACGTAATATTCTGAATGTGATTGGCTTGGACGTTTCGCAGAGTCGGATTTAGGTACAAAATTAAAAGATTAAAGCTTCACTGTCCTACGTCCACCTTGACGATATCTTGAATGTTGCGTGACACTTATGTAGTAAGAAACTTTCTTTGTTTACTGTCCTTTCATTAGGTGTACATTATTTTATACATTACAAATGGATACCGTGTATAAGTTTTAATATGCTGCAAAAATAATGTCTGCATGTTAAAATCTCAGAAAAGCAATTTCTCCCTCATTGATACAGACTTGCCTAGTAAGGAGACAACAGGTATTATTACATTTATGCATTAAACAACATCAGCAAATTGTACTTAAATAAACTTTTGTATGTCAACTATAAGTTCATTTTAATTTGTAGTGCTTTTTGTTGTAAATAAAATGTATCTGGTTCGTTCTGTTTCTGTAAATATTTTAAACGTAGGTTTTTTAGTATTTGTAAAAGAAATAGAGTATACTTTATTATTTTGATTTAACCTAGTCATTATTTACTCCTTTTCCAAGTTTATCAGTTCTTCAATATTAGTTTAATCCTTAGAATTTAATCTTATTAACGTATACTCGGTACGATCAGTAATATATTCAGCAATTCCCACTTCTGTTACCGTCTTTGTTACCTACTTAATATGGATACTTAATACGAAGACTACTTACCTTAGTTTAAGAAATAATAAATTAGTCAATTAGTTAAATTATAAAAACTATAATACAAAATCCAACCCTGCTTTCGTGTTGTTACAAAAAAAAATCAGTGCTGCGTTCCGAGATAGTGTTCGAAACTAGCAAATATCAATTCTGCTCATACTTGTTAATATATATTTATCCTATATAAGATGTAGTATATTTCGTAAATATACAAATTGCGATGAATATAACACCTTAAACTTTGATCTAATTGAAATATAAATTAATCGATGTAAGTGATGATGACAGGCTGAAATGATGATGATGATGATGATGATGAAGTGATGATACTTTTTAATCAATACCGAGTATTAGTTATCGATATTTTTCTACCAATAACTTGTCGAGTGGAAGTATCGATATTTCTGAGGTGGTATCGGTCATTCCTAAAAACGTCTTATCAAAACAAAATTAAAAATAAAAAACACGCTACCAGTTATTAGAACGACGTAACAAATATAAAGTTTTTTGAAGAATACGATACACATAAAAGAAAAGTTAACCAGAGTAGATCAATTTGCACTCTTTACTATGGTTTCTCATTTGAAGTCGGAAGTGTTATGTTGTCGAAATATTCTAATTTGGCTGATTTGACTCGGTTTAAATGTAGTTAGAGTATGTACTAACTAACTAACTGGTACAAACGGCGGGCTTAATGCCATAAGGCATTTTCTACCAGCCAACCGGAAAGTTAGTGAAAGAGAAGTGTAGGTGCTAGCTATATAAAACATTATATATATTGTAACATACTCGTTTGGGTAGATTTTTGGTGAAGACATCTACTTTTTAAGCCTCTTTTGGTACTTAAATCACACGTTGGATTTAAATGTAGTTAGATTATGAGGTTTTTTGCGAATCTTCGTCGGTGATTAGCCAAGTTTTAATCATTTGCATCTTATTGGGTCAGTTGGGCTGCAAGTGTATTTGGGACATTTTTAAGCCTCTTTTGGTATTTTATAGAAGTGGTTTGGAGTTATTCTTGCACCGTGATCATTTTGAGTTTTTTTTGGATCTTCGTCTGGGTTCCAAGGCACTATGTATATTTGTTCTGAGAATCATATTTTGCATCTTGTTGTTACTGCTAGCCTCATATTAAGTTGGCTTCCTCTTGTAGTAATCAATATATAACCCCAGTGGGTATTCTTGGAGTTCCATTCTCCACCAGTAATCAATCTGTGCGCTATAGTTTGGAAATTTTGAGTAAACGTTGACTATGAGATTTTATATTTGGGTGGACAGTAGACATCTGATACTTTAGATCTTGCACCTTTAGATTCAATCTCTAATTTCATCGCCTGTATATGTTTAGTTTGATATGCAAGTATAAGTTGGGGTCCGGTCTAGTAAGTATAAGTGGTCTATTTAATTTTTTCATAAATAGCTGTGCATGAGCAGTGACATCAGGATAGCCTGTAAAGTATGTTATATATGCCTGAACAATATTATTGGTACCGGAAATGCAGTTTAATTCAGATATCCAAATGATGTCCAGATTATGTTCCTTTATTAGGATTTCTACTAAATCTTTATCTGGCGCTAAGTCATTGACGTTCCAAGTTGCTTTATTAAGAGTCAGGATTTTTACTTATTTTTCTATGAGTTTAGTGGTGAGGTACATTACAGAACTCATTTCATGTATGATAAAATATTTAACTGACAATTATATTTTTTTTACTTGAGTGGGTAGCAAGTAAGCTGGCGGTTTACCTGAAGTAAAGTGATAACCGCCGCTCATGGACATTTGCAACACCCGTAGGGCTGCAGATGCATTGCCACCACTTATTAGTGGGCCCCTGTTACCTCACTCACCGGACGAAATAAAGATGCCACTTTCAGTACACGGCGGTCTTCTAGTAATTCGTATATATCAGATCAGTAATCAGCTTTATAACTATTTTTTTTTATTTTTTAACGTAAATTTTATTTATTGGGGACAGCTGGCCCTGATCAACGTCACACGCGACATCAGTATGTTTATCTATCTACTCATCGTCACATGCATTTGATAAGATGTTTTAACTTTTTTGCTGACTCATTACTGTTATTATCATCATTGTTTAATAAATTCATTAAAATGTCAAAAGTTATCGTGCCTGATTCGTTCAATGATGAATGAAACACTGCAAGAAGAAAAACATAAAAATCTTTAAATATGCCACAAAATTTTAAACATTTTACGATGTTACTTTTACCCGCGGCTTGTACCCGTATTTATAAACTAGCTAACTATAATAACAGAGGATTAACCTTGAAAACATATAATAGAGGACTAACCTTTAGTGTTATCACTTGAATAAAGTATAGGACATTAGGCTGTTAAAATTCTATAATTCTGTAAAGTAACCCCAAGTTTATGAACCAACAGATGAAACAGTAAATGATTTACCTATTTATTTTACATAATTAATATATACAAACTATAAAAAAATTAAAGAACTCTCGAAACATCCACGAAAAAATTTGATAGGTACTGCAGTTATACAGGATGGTTTTTAAAGGTGCCTAAATTCACACCGGAGGTTCATACTCTGTATTAATTACGAGAATGTAATTATTAATTACGAGTGATTTTAAATATTTATCAATTTTTGTATAATATTATTTATATCTAGAATTTAATTTAAAAAAATGGATACACTTAGAAAAGCCTCTGTATAGTTAAGTAGTGAAATTATTGATTTTACTCCGTAATTTACAAATTAAGTAATTTTTTTGTATTTATCCTTTAAAATAGGACATGGATATGCGAAGAGTTTCTTTCTAGTGGGTGGTGGAATGCTGTTCCAACACTTTGTTTTGCAGGATCTTTAACAGTAAAGACCCGAAAGGTATCCTTGATAGTACCTTCCTATGGGCAGATATTGTTAGCTGCAAATCTCTCGACCCTTGAAAGGCCTTCTTTAGATGAACCAAAAAGTACAAATACTTCTCCATGCCCATTTTCGAAATCGTAATACTTGTCTATCCTACCTTATTCTTTCAGACCGGCAGAGTGGCTCTACCTGATACGGTATAGTATATTGGTAAAGAAAGTCAGTTTGCTTATAAGCGTTGGAATTTGAAATTACTAGAATTGGAATGATCAAGTCTCGGATATCAGGCGCAAAGTAGTTGCTACCTTTCGCGTTTATCGCTTAAAAATTTCTATCTCAATATATGCATATGGTTGTCCCGTTTTTACCTTAAGAGATAAGTTTTGGTATCTCTCCTTATCTCAAGATATGGTTTTTCAGTGTTCCACTAACAATAGTATTAATATACCTTCACACTTTGTCGGGGTTTTGAATAAAACCTATATCGGCAATTTTGCTTTTGAATCCTCTTTCCCAACGGAAAAAAGCACGCTTATTGCGTGCTTTTATATATTATTTGATAAATATATATTATATAAAAATTTTTGGATGCTGCAAATATCACATTTTGAATCAAAGTCTTTACTCTTTTTAACTCTTTATTATATTCAACACAAATTGCAGTTATTTTTTAGTTATTTGTGAAAATATGTTTACTTATCTTTATCAAGGTACCTACGTTTTACATATTTTACGTTTTACATCGATTACAATAATTTAACAATAATTAGTAAATCGACTGATATTCTTGTAACGGTGAGGAGTGACCACTGTGACGAAACGAGTCACGTGATCGGAATCGTTTGGAGGGGGCAACTGTTACATTTTAAATATGAGCGAGCGGTGAGCCTGAGCTCGCCGAGGTTCAGGCTAGGCGCCCCGAGCGCCAGGCCACCTCATGCTCGTCGGAACTGTAAAGACCCCTAAGCACAACAGTGGCTCATCCAGTCCAAAAAAAAAGAGCCTGAACTCAATATTACGGAGTTACTCAGTTCATTAGTGAGAGCGATACAGTTCGGACCTTCTAAACGGGACCGTTGATTCACTTCGGAACTTTGTACTATATTGGTTATCTACATAGAATACAAGAGATATCTTACTGTATGTTTGTGGTTTAATTGCCTGAGACCTACGCCATGAACCCTGCACCAGAAGCTCCTACCGAAGACGGGCATATCGGTAACCTATCGTTGTCGCCGACATATATATTTATACCTAAATCAGTCAGTATTCATTATTACGAATCATCATTATTAATTTTATTTAACATAATTTCGTAAACGTCAAAAGATCATACTAGTAGAGAATGCCTAAAGACAATAAGTGCGCCTTTTCTTGGAATTTTGAAGGAAGTGTAATCAAAATAATGAATAAATATTACGTTTAATTGATTTAAAGTCGCAATAGAGATTTAAATTGTTTATAGTGCTAATCTTTGCACTTAAGATTGAACATTAAAATATGTAGAAAAAGTGCGAAAAGATTGTCGCCGCTGTGGGAATCGAACCCACGTCTTCGGCATTCGCGGCCTGACGCTCTAGCCACTGAGCTAAACGGCTGATTACCACACCGACGAAAATCTTAACGCATTCTTCCACATTGTTTTCTTAGCATTTGAAGCAATGCTTGGCGCCATCTATTGTTATATCCTTTCCAGCATACAAACAACTTCGAATATCGTTTTACAACGATAATTCGAACGAGAGATGTCGCCATTGCTTTTTTTTTAGAAATTTAAATTGTTTATAGTGCTAATCTTTGCACTTAAGATTGAACATTAAAATATGTAGAAAAAGTGCGAAAAGATTGTCGCCGCTGTGGGAATCGAACCCAGCTCAGTGGCTAGAGCGTCAGGCCGCGAATGCCGAAGACGTGGGTTCGATTCCCACAGCGGCGACAATCTTTTCGCACTTTTTCTACATATTTTAATGTTCAATCTTAAGTGCAAAGATTAGCACTATAAACAATTTAAATTTCTAAAAAAAAGCAATGGCGACATCTCTCGTTCGAATTATCGTTGTAAAACGATATTCGAAGTTGTTTGTATGCTGGAAAGGATATAACAATAGATGGCGCCAAGCATTGCTTCAAATGCTAAGAAAACAATGTGGAAGAATGCGTTAAGATTTTCGTCGGTGTGGTAATCAGCCGTTTAGCTCAGTGGCTAGAGCGTCAGGCCGCGAATGCCGAAGACGTGGGTTCGATTCCCACAGCGGCGACAATCTTTTCGCACTTTTTCTACATATTTTAATGTTCAATCTTAAGTGCAAAGATTAGCACTATAAACAATTTAAATTTCTAAAAAAAAGCAATGGCGACATCTCTCGTTCGAATTATCGTTGTAAAACGATATTCGAAGTTGTTTGTATGCTGGAAAGGATATAACAATAGATGGCGCCAAGCATTGCTTCAAATGCTAAGAAAACAATGTGGAAGAATGCGTTAAGATTTTCGTCGGTGTGGTAATCAGCCGTTTAGCTCAGTGGCTAGAGCGTCAGGCCGCGAATGCCGAAGACGTGGGTTCGATTCCCACAGCGGCGACAATCTTTTCGCACTTTTTCTACATATTTTAATGTTCAATCTTAAGTGCAAAGATTAGCACTATAAACAATTTAAATTTCTAAAAAAAAGCAATGGCGACATCTCTCGTTCGAATTATCGTTGTAAAACGATATTCGAAGTTGTTTGTATGCTGGAAAGGATATAACAATAGATGGCGCCAAGCATTGCTTCAAATGCTAAGAAAACAATGTGGAAGAATGCGTTAAGATTTTCGTCGGTGTGGTAATCAGCCGTTTAGCTCAGTGGCTAGAGCGTCAGGCCGCGAATGCCGAAGACGTGGGTTCGATTCCCACAGCGGCGACAATCTTTTCGCACTTTTTCTACATATTTTAATGTTCAATCTTAAGTGCAAAGATTAGCACTATAAACAATTTAAATTTCTAAAAAAAAAAGCAATGGCGACATCTCTCGTTCGAATTATCGTTGTAAAACGATATTCGAAGTTGTTTGTATGCTGGAAAGGATATAACAATAGATGGCGCCAAGCATTGCTTCAAATGCTAAGAAAACAATGTGGAAGAATGCGTTAAGATTTTCGTCGGTGTGGTAATCAGCCGTTTAGCTCAGTGGCTAGAGCGTCAGGCCGCGAATGCCGAAGACGTGGGTTCGATTCCCACAGCGGCGACAATCTTTTCGCACTTTTTCTACATATTTTAATGTTCAATCTTAAGTGCAAAGATTAGCACTATAAACAATTTAAATTTCTAAAAAAAAAAGCAATGGCGACATCTCTCGTTCGAATTATCGTTGTAAAACGATATTCGAAGTTGTTTGTATGCTGGAAAGGATATAACAATAGATGGCGCCAAGCATTGCTTCAAATGCTAAGAAAACAATGTGGAAGAATGCGTTAAGATTTTCGTCGGTGTGGTAATCAGCCGTTTAGCTCAGTGGCTAGAGCGTCAGGCCGCGAATGCCGAAGACGTGGGTTCGATTCCCACAGCGGCGACAATCTTTTCGCACTTTTTCTACATCTTTTAATCGCAATAGAGATGATATTTTCTGAATCTGAATAATAACAAATAAAGCGTAACGAGCATGGAAATAGCTGTGGTGATTAGCTTCTTTGTGAGATTAAGTTTTAAAAGTCTTTAATTAACTAAAACACGGTAATATCAACATTAAAAGATTTCAAAAAGCTTTGCACACTTTATTATTACCATATAGCCCTGCCCCGCCAAGGACGATTAACCGATAACTTGTGCTATAATAATTAGGTACGGTATACATCTTCCACCCATAGTCCTAAACTTCAACAGATGGAAGAAGTAAAAGGTGCATAATTCTTTCCCGATGCCCCTGCTGTTTTGCCCAATTTATTGAAATCAATGTATACTCATTTCATCATTTGAGTGCACTGCTGAACATAGGAGTCTTTTTTTTGGATACTTAGTACCCACGGGCCCTTAAGCCCCGCGTTTCGCGAATCTATCAATATTGTCGAAATAATCAATAGAATATTATACATACTAAATGAATCTATTTTACGGATTTTATCGTATGAGAGAGACCTCATTTGCAGTCAAGCTGGGGTGAAGTGTATGATATTTTAAAATACAACAGCTTAAAGAATAATCTATATGTTTAAAGATTGATCTATTCAGTATTTCTAAAATGAAAAACCGGTAGTAAAACAGTGTTTATTTTTGAGTATACAACTTTATTTCGGTAGATCTCATTACTTCAGTTGTTTGACCATGAGTTACTATTAATAACTTCGCTAAAAGTATACATATTCGCAACTGACATTCAATGCAAAATTTGATACTAAGTAGTTAACCTTGCGTTTCGCAATTAATTGCATGTGTAGAAATAGTAGTTATGATTTAATCTTTGCGATTAAACTCAGATTTCACTGATGTAGCCTTAAGTTAGGAGCTATTTTAAGAATTCGGAAAGACATGAACACGAATAAAAGGGAAACTCAACAATAAATAAATTAAACAAACAAACTTCTATTTGTAACTTACACACGCATTTTTCAATTTTCCATTCTTTCCTAAAAGGCCGGCAATGCAAGTCCTCTGGTGTTGCAGACTTTCATGGGCGGTGGTGATTACTTATGACCAGCCTGCTCATTAGCTCCTTATGAAAATAGCAATGTTCTTGGCTTTTTGTTTCGGTCTACTTAATGCCACACTAATTTTACTAACTTCAGTTATTTATGTCAAACGTGACGTAAAAAACTAAACACAGTAGAAAAACTATTATCTAAAGAACGTTATTATGCTAATATTAAGATCTCCATTTATTGAGAAAACAATAATAATAGCTATAATTAGATACGAACTACTCTTTCTTATCGCTCTTTTCATAATTGGTTGTTCGTTTGGAGATCCTTTTGCGTCTAGGGACTCGAGGTAATATAAGTGAAGCGATAACTAACGGTACACCGAACAGAACGAAGAGCACGTCTAGACATAAGTATTGGTAGACGGGAACATCGGCGGCTGGCGACCTGAATGTGAAATTTCGATGGCGAGCGGCGAACTCCGTCCAATGCACTGCACTGTCCATTGCCGAGGTCGGCCGGTCCCGCCAGGCGCGCGACAGCGACTTGACCTCAGCTCGGAACCTGTGCATACATCATCATTATTCGGGCACTAGACGCTAAGCGGTAAAATGTGAACGCATACGTTTAGTTTCAGGTTTCTTTCTTCTTAGCCTTCCTTCTTCGCCGCTTATTAACCTCGATTCTAAGGTTGCACTGATTGGCAAATTTTGATCGTATTAATTTAGTGATATTGAGTGTGCCATGTATTTCGTTATCGTAGATATTCTATATATTAGAAATTCGATGTACGTATATATTTACTCTATGTATAAACTCCTAAATGGCTCCACCATTTTTGATAAAACTTCAAGGCAATCTGCTGACCAGCTCAGAGGGTGATCGTGTTAAGTTTGGTAGCGATCAAGTCAACAAAAAAAAAAAAGTTTTTAGTGTTCCCCGTCTAATTCGAGGTGGGTCGCTAGTTGGTTATGTTTGAAATCAAGAGTATATGCTTACTGCGGATTTAGTATCTTCTTAAATTTCTGTAACAGATTTTCCTTTGTGAGTTCTTTTAATTCAATCTGGACTCCGAGTCCGCTCTCTTCAACTGCTGCAGCATTTGCTGGTTGATCTCCAAAAATGGGCATGGCAAGCATTGGAACACCATGGTACATCGCTTCCGTAGTGCTCAATAGACCGCAGTGAGAATAAAAGGCTAATACATTTGGGTGACCTGTTAAATATAAAAAAAAAATAGATATACATTAATTATACCTGCATTAAAATACTGTCTAACGGATTAACATTTATAGTATGAAAACATTACCAAGAATATCGTTCTGAGGCAACCATTTAGATAGGTATATATTTTTCGGATTTCCTGGCAAAGAATCTTCTTCCCATTTCCAAATAGCTCTTTGAGGTAGTTCTGTAAGGGCACTTATGATTGTTTCTATTTTGTCCCTAGGTGTCGATGCAGCCTTTAGCATTGAACCAAAACTTATGTATATGACTCCGTGTTCTGAATCTTCAATGAACTTGCGTATGTTCTGCAAATATATACTGAAATTACAATTACTGCTTTGTTCATTATCCATGTAACATGGTCTCTTTAATGCATACTGTAAAAATCCCACAATATTGTGATTACTTCCGGCAGGTTTTACTGCCTCAACTTACAATTAATGTGAACGAATCAAGAAAATTTTTATTTGGTGTCGGCACCGAACCTACACCAAGTCGCGCTGCAGCTATCGGCACCAATGCGGCTAGTTAGCCAGACCGAATAAACTCCTAAATTTAAACACCGGCTTTAATATATTCAAATTGGTAACTTTAACAAAATGCATAAAATAAATAGGTATTTTATTATTTTAGGTATTTTTACCTCTGAAATAAAAGATTTAATTATTAAAATATTATTTTTGTTAGTCGAAAGCTGAATTTAATCAAAAGAAAAAAAAACATTTTAGTTATTAAATATCTTGCTGTCATGAAACGGCTTTAATTAATGGCATTTGCAGTTTATAGTGAAATTATGGATATTGAACTTTACATAATTTTTTTTACTTTAGGTAATATACTGAAATTAATTCTTCGTAGTATACGTTACGTGTATTTGCAATTGAGTAGACAAAATACGTCAACATAGATTTAGTACTTACGTCAGGCAATTGTTTTGAATTCACAGCGTGATATCCGCCGACTTCTATTACGTTTGGCGGGAGAATGTTAGAGCCAAAATGAATAAAATTAGTGTAGACCAGTTGGAATTTGATGTTACGGGCCAGTTCTTCTAAAGGAGGGACATCGTCAAAGTACTGCGCAAGAGTATTTTGATCAACTCGTTGAATGAAAAACTTATAAAGAAGATTAAAATATGTGATGAATACAATTCTTTCCAGTCTCTGATAAAAAGTTGGTTTTGTTCCACCACTCAAAAACATAAACGATACATAAGACGGATTGAAGGGAACGCCAAATCTGCTGTAATGCCAGGACATCAACGCGTGTGAAGTTAGCCCGACCACTGGAGCTTTTAAAACATGAGCCAATCCTAAAGAACAGTCACTGTTGAATTGCTCTGTTACGATAACATCAAATTTTGCTTTTGTCTTCCACAACTGTTGCACATTTTCATCAGCGAGCATGACTTTGCAGTTCTCAGTTCCTGTTCCAACTAAAAAGAAACTTATCTGTATAAGGGTCCAGTACGATTTTTCTATTGGGAAAACGTTCTCCAAAACTTTAAGTTTCCCCGCCAGACTTATGTCATGATAATTTTTCGGTGCTTGATTTTGTGGGAAATACGATATCACTGTCACATTGTGTCCTCTTCGGGTTAATTCTTTTAAGTATGTTTCAAACACGAAAAAGTGACTTTTGCCTTCGAACGGGAACACGCCTAATATATTTAACGCATTCACTTTGTTTCTTTCAACGCATGTAATAAGCACTATAGCACAACAAAAAGCAAAGATCAACCTCATTTTAAACAGTATTTTGTAGCGCTCATTACAACAGTCTGAAAGCGTCTGGCGATGTTGTTTTGCGGAGTCGTCTTATATTGACAGAGGAAAGAGATAAATACAGTTGATAACATTGCTGGAAGTTGGCACGACGGTCATCTAAACACTTGCGGTATCCGTAGTTCGTTTATTAAGGTGTGGTACACCTCAAAAACTCGACTTATACACAAAAGAAGGCATGAAGTCAAAATATCAGCATAATATCTGTACGATTTTTTTCTTAAAGGACACGCTATCTATAAGATAGATACGCCATACGTGTTGCGGTGATTGTATCATTTACATTTTTCGATTGCATTTCGTGAGAGCAAGTCTGAATTAACCAGTTTAATTGATTGCAATTCTTACGTACGGATTTGTCCTCTCGTATTCACGCAAAAACACACATCGTTGGTTGAAGCCAATCTAAATTTAATTATACGCCATTTTAATTACAATAAAGCTGAAGCGAGAATTCATACTTATTTATTTATATATTTGGACACTTTATTGTACTAACTGGTACAAACGGCGGGCTTAATGCCATAAGGCATTTTCTGCCAGCCAACCGGAAAGTTAGTGAGAGAGAAGTGTAGGTGCTAGCTGTATAGGGTAAATATATTATATAATATGTATACATACATTATGATAACAATTATAAAACACATACAAAAATACATATGATATACATCTATATATAGTACTGTACTTATCAAGAATGTAAACGTCTTTATCATTAGTAATACGAAATTTACTTATGTTTGTGTCTATATAAAGTGTATTATTTACTATTACATAAAGATAAATATAAATGGACTACTTTCATATCACTACATCATCCCGCTGTCTGTCTGACCCTATGTATGCTTAGATCTTTAAAACTACGCAACGGATCTAGATGCGTTTTTTTTACTAAATAGAGTAATTCAAGAGGAAGGTTTATATGTATAATAAATTTCACCCGTGCGAAGCCGGGGCGGGTCGCTAGTACGTATATAACGTGAGACTTGAGCGTGATAACTGAAGTGTGAAGGCCGTCAAATTTAAAAACAATTGTTAGCGCCGATTGATAGATGGATTGGTCGATTTGAGTGCGCCCAGTGCAATATAAATTATTCACCAAAATCACGTCTTAATAAAAAAGTCACGACATCAGAAAGGTGGAAAGTTTGAATATACATTATCATCTTTTCTAGAGAATGACTTGATGGCGCAGTTGCTATAAACTTCGGCGTCGGCGACCGTGGGTTCAATTCCTACACGAACCAGTATTTGTGTGTCTCAAAGATAATTAAATACGGGGAGTATAAAAAGTATCATTACCAACATGATTCACGTGTTGTACGACACCAATTAGGTGAGTTGAGAGCAGGGAAGAGAAGAAAATGATAATCTTTTCTAGACCAGCAACTTTAATTTATTCATTTAAAGGGGACCCTCTTTTTAGGGTTCCGTACGACAGACATATTTTTTTGATAGATAATGGTACGAATGTTATTGTTTACATGGCAGGCTCATTGTTTTTAAAACTTTATCTCGCTTAAACTTCAAGCAAGCTGGAGGTTCACCTGATGTTAAGTGATAACTGCCGCCCATGGAATTTGTTTAGGCTACAAACGTGTTACCATCTTTTAATAAAATGGCTCCGGTTACTCCACTCACTATACAAAACACTTCTATTTTACGCCGTCCTTCTTCGAAATCGTGGCATTTCCCCGGATGAACCTACCCATTCGTGCAACAGTAAAGACTGCTGCACGAACGACATTTAAAATCATTATACTGTTATGGACTTTCGCCGTGATTTATATATAGCTCAAGTGTTGAAACGAATAAATGAATAAACATCGACGAGGAATTAAAATGGCTCCATAAAAGAGAATGTAAAAATATTTGCACAGGGGATTATGGCGTTTGCTATGATTGAGGTAATCACACCCTTTCAGAATCCGAAACAGCTGCGTGTCGGGTGTTGCTGTAAAATAGTAAAAAAATTTATTGTTATTGTTAAATAGGGTATATTGTATTTAACGGGAAACAAAAAGCTATTCGGCATTGTGAATTTTACTATTTTAAGAATTTACGATTTTTTTTTCTAAAGTTGTGAAGAAAAGAAGAGCACCAAAAGAAAAGTAGTTGCTTCTTTTTCAGCAAATCAAGAGATAACTGTACAGTATCGCATTAGAGGAGTTCAGCACAATGTTCGAAGACATCAAGTGTCCTGTGTCCCAGCGGGTGGGCATGAAAATGAACATGGACAAGACGAGTCATATCAAATGTCCATGTGACGCTCGCTCCCGTATTATTGGGGAGGCTCGCCACTCGAAATTGTTGGTGGCTATGTCTATCTGGGACAAATGGTCCAACAAGGCAAATCCAATTTCGAGAAGGAGGTCAATCGACGAATCCAGCTCGGTTGGGCTGCGTTCGGGAAATTACGCAACGTCGTTACGTCCAAAATACCACAGTCCTTAAAGACGCAAGTCTTTAATCAATGCGTGCTATCAGCGATGACCTAGGGTGCAGAGACATGGTCTCTCACTATGGGCCTCATAAGGAAGCTCGGGGTCGCACAGCGAGCTATGGAAAGGGTAATGCTTGGGGTTTCTCTATGAGATCGAATCAGAAATGAGGAGATCCGTAGAAGAACTAGAGTTGCCGACATAACAGAGCGAGTCCGTAGGCTGAAGTGGCAGTGGGCAGGACACATAGCTCGGAGAACCGATGGCCGTTGGAGCAGAAAGGTTCTTGAGTAGAGACCACGTGACGGCAAGCGAAGCGTAGGAAGGCCTCCCACAAGATGGACGGACGACCTAGTAAAGGTCGCTTTACAGACGTCGTGTAATGTCTACATCGAACTGATCGAGCAAGACGACCACTGATAGTGCCATAGCACAATACTGTATTACGATTCCGACAGTAAGTGACTACGGCGAAACCAATCCACCGCATACATTAGGTACACCCACGTTTAGTGACTTCGTAACTCGGGAAAAGTAGTTTTTTCACGACTTCTTTCGATTTGTTCAAAGTAGCCTCTGTTCCTTTCTATACATCTTCGCATTCTATAGAACCATTAAGAAAAGCAGTGGGCCCATTCTTCCATACGGGGTATCTTTTACGGCATTTTCGAACGCATTTACCGCATCTTCAGGGCTGGAAAGCAAATACCTCGAAGTTTATCTTTGATTCTTGAGAATAAATGAAAGTCGCAATCTCGACACGTGCAATAGTTCTTATTCAATTATTCGTTTCGCGGAGTGCACTGAAGAGTTGTCGTAGTGAAGGAGGAACCTGCTTCCAGGACGCTGCTGTCGAACATTTTCCAAGACAGACCTCAAACAACAGTTAATATCTCAGTCTGCAGTAAATACTCGGAAGCACAGATGGTAATCTTTCAGCTCAATTGTTGCGATATGACCTTTCTGTTCAAAGAACGAGGCAATTTTCTTTTTTCCTTGATTTTTTTTCGTTAATTTAATTGGCCGATCTTCCAAAGAAATCACCCACTGAGCCGACTTTTTGGTTTTGAGTACGTAGCAATATATTCACCTTTCAACATCTGTGACGATGTCAAATACAGAATTAGTCTCCTCATTCAACAGGAACGTTTCTGACGTTCGATCAAAGAATGGGGAATCCATTAAATGCTGGTCCTGACGCCTAAATGGCCCTGTAATGTTTTTTGTTTTTCACTCATATCTAAGTTTGCCCAAATCTACTGGTAGATTATGCTCTGATTTTCCTCTATTTAGCGTCGCATAGCACTGATACTATCTTTAGACATTGCTGTTGAAAGACGTCCCTCAAGCAGGTCATCACTGAGATTGCTACACCCACGCTTAAAGTCATTAAAACAATTGAAAACAATGACATGACGGGATGGGGCATCATTATTAAATGCCAATCATAGTTTTGTTGATGAGTAGGACCATAACAAAAGTCGTAATAAATCATGGACCGAAAATTTTTTCGCATTATCATTTTAAATTGTAACATGACTTTTAGAATTGCCGCCAATTCACAAAAACAAATGAAAAATTAATGCAATATAGCATTAGGTTACCAAATAGTTCTATGATATTTTTTTTTGAAATGTCGGGAATTAAAAGTAAACGCGATAAATCTTTTTAAAATTGTTTGCACATACTTAAATCAAAAAGTGATATTTTTAATCGAGCTGCTGACTTACAATCGCCGCTTAAAGAATTGTCATATTTTAACGGATATTGCTATCGCCATTCTAGTCTTGAAACTAAAATAAAAAGAAAATAATTATATATTTAGAAAAAATCAAATGAAAAGCTTCAGATCTCCGTATCAAAGAGGGAAAACAGATAGAAGAGCACAATTGTGAAGCGCATTCAAAATGCTTCACACAACTATTTTTAAAAACATTTACACGTCAAATATTAAGTATGACAGATAAGTAGTCAATAATATATATTTTAACGTAAAACTCTCTTGGAGATAAAAAATAATAGTTGGACAACATTAAAGTTTAAAGTCTAATTAGTGCACAATATAAATAAACAATTCCTAACGCCTTGTGTGTGCAAAACATCTGTGCAGTGCAAAACATCAATAGTGCTCACTTAGGAAATACAGGGGCAAGAGAAAATATATTCTTTTACTAACAAAAACACTGTTATATTAGTGGGCAATGCGCTAGGGACAATAATTATAAATGCTGCTGCGCCAATCATGGGCGGCTTTATTGACATTAAAAATCAAGTGATACTTCAATACGACGAAAAGTTGGTTGCCCGGGTGAGTTATAGTAATAAGTCAAGGGTCGAAGTCGGTCAAGTCGAATCTGCGTCGCCTGGCGTATCAAGTGGTTGTAAATTTATATCTACTCGTGACCTCCACGGCTTGCAACTGCCACTGCACCAGGTGCGCCACCTGCCCGTCATGGTTACTGTTCACCTATCAGATTCAGTGTCAAGTTCATATTACTTTATTTGAACGGATGTATACCAAATTATACTGATAACACACACAATCAAAGTCCGCCAATCCGCAGTGGGGCCGCGTGGTGGACTATGCCCTGATACCCTCTGTATAGAGGAGGTCTTTGCCCAGCAGTGGGACATATATAGGCTGTTACTACACACAATCAACGCATATACACTTTTCCAAAATTAAAAACCTGCAAACAGCGCAAATAGATTCCTTTGCAGTATATTTATCTCAGTTAAATAAAAATAACGCCAAAATGGTATGGTGTGTAGAGGTCATGCAGCAGCTTCGGCTGTTGTACGAATGGGCAGACTCATCTAGGTAAGTACCACAGACACACAAAAGACCGGCATGAAGTGGAAGTATCACATTTATTTACGAATTTCGTGACTGAGGTAGCTGAGGCCCACATCTTTTAAAGGTTCTCAGCCCTCAGATGTTGTAGATGTTCTTCGGCGACGGTAATCAATGAAATCAGATGAAACCGTCTGCTCGCCTGACAACTTCTCACATTAAAAAAAAAAACAGTAGTCATTACCGAATGTTTGATTAATGAATAGTGTGAACCATCTGTTTTCGAACTGTACTGTGTGTCTTATACTAAAAATCAAATTAACCATTATGATGACATAAAAGTATTATCTTCTTCTTAGTCGGACACTCTTGACAGAGTGGTCGTGGCTGTCATTGCTTGGCTGATGGACAAGATTGCGTCGCTGTTCGCTTCCAAGGCAGCCGTACGTCTTGCGGTGTCCCTCCATTGGAGGCGACTGTTAGTAATGCGAGCACATTGTACTGCGATAGCTTTCGTAGTGCTAATGATGAGGTCAATCCAGCGCGTGGGGGCTCGACCTCGAGGTCTTTTACCTTCTACACGGCCTTGAATGACAAGTCTCTCCATGGAACCTTCCTTTCTGAGATGTGCCTAAAGAACTTGAGAATTAATCTATTATATAAAGAGGAAAGATTTGATTGTTTGTATGTCGATACATGCGATAGGCTCCAAAACTACTAAACCGATTTGAAAAATTCTTTCATTGTTGAGAAGCTACATTATCCGTGCTTGACACGGGCTATATAATATTTTCAAAAGATTAGGGATCCTTACTAAAACTCCAATAATGTTACTCAAGGTGTACAAAAATTACCTAAAATATTCTTTACATCGCGTGTGCTGCGAAAACTATTGATGATAGAATAAAGTAATGTACTACGACTTTGCAGACCACATCATTATTTACAAAAAGTGTCGCGACAGCATATGTCTAACTATTATAGTTATACCACAACAAGTGTTCTTTTATTTTAAATTTTTTATTGAAATGCCGCCGCTAACAAAGGCTGTTTATTTGTATCTCGGTATTAATCCTTATAAAAATAAATTACTTCATATTTAAGACTGTTTCAATATCTTTAAAAAACTTTTTGAATTATTAAATTCGGACATTTCATTCCTTAGATATTGCAGTTTTAGGAATGTTACTATATTGTAATTTAACTATCCAAACAGCTTAGTGACTGACTTAGTAGTTCTTATAAGTTTTCAATCATATTTATACTGGTAATTCCTGTTCAACAGTTAGCAAATTATTAAATACTGAGGAAGTGTAATTTTTTATCATTTTAAAATGCCCAAAAGATCAAGATCTCATCTTTCTAGAAATAGTTCGCAGGCGAGGACATTAAAAATACGTCATAATAAGGAAAATTTACCGGAAACTGAAAATCGTCTTACGAGTCGGAGAGAGTCAAGTAGAGTATATGATACAAATTCACACTAGGGAATCGAGGTCTGAGCGTTCCCAACGTATACGAGATTAGAGAGAAAGATAAAAAACGTCAACGACTAGAGTTCGTGATCGAGTTTTAGCTCACAGTAACAGATCAACTTTCATGCATTTTGCTCAACAGTCTTCCCTCCAAATCGTAGCCACGAATAAGATCTGCTCTAAGTGTTCTGCCAAAAATGGGTCGATGAACCAAATGGTATGTGCTGTGCTTCTGGAAAAGTTAGTCCCCCCAATATTGAGGAGCCGCCACAACCAATAAAAAACCTTTTTACAAATAATCATTCACCATCTGGACATTTTTAACCAACATCCGAAAGTACAATAGCCTCTTTCAAATGACTTCGTTTGACGCGAACTTTTAAAATAGAGGGACAAGTATACAAGTTATTATCATCCTCCTGCCCCTATCCCACCTAGGTGGGGTCGGCACAACATGAATCATGTTGTAAGTGGTTTTGCCTATATTTTTTACAACCAGCCGCCTGCTTGACGTCAACCCTCCTTGGGAAACAAATACCCAGATCAAATTTCAACTGTGTAATTATCATGGTTCATGAGATACAGCCTGTTGACAAAGGGACAAACAGACAGCGGAGTCTTAGTAATAGGGTCCCGTTTTACCCTTTGGGCACGGCATCCTAAAAAGGCCCCAGAGATATAGTGAGCACGGTAGACACGGCCAACTTAAAAGGGTCTTTGAGTTACACCGATTGTATGATCCATAAAAATATCCCTTAATAGTCGTAATAGGAGAAGACGGTTAATATTTGACTATTCCTCGGCAAGGTACTGTGCGTAACAAAACTGTGACATGCATGCAATTGTATACATTTAGGTTGATGGTTAAAGCTACCTGTTTTAAGCCATTGCATTATTACTGGGACTTATTAGGGTTCCGTACCCAAAGGGTAAAACGGCACCCTATTACTAAGACTCCGCTGTCCGTATGTCGGTCCATATGTCACCAGGCTGTGTCTCATGAATCGTGATAGTTAGACAGTTGAAATTTTCACAAACGATGAATTTCTGTTGCCGCTATAACAAAAAATACCAAAAAATATAAATAAGTGGGGCTCCCATAAAACAGACAAGATTTTTTGCCGTTTTTATAGATAATGTTGACAGTAATAGTGTTTTTGACAATATGTAAGTGTAATACTTCTATATTTAATAAGATGATAAAACATGATTTTTTTAATGGTGATAGAGTGATAGAGTGGCAAACGAGCTGGCGGTTCACCTGATGTTTAGTAATAACCGCCGCCCATGGGTATTTGTAACAGCTATAGGGTTGCAAATGAGTTGCCATCTTTAAACTTTCACGGTGGTAGGGCCACGCAGCAGCCTCGGCTGCCGCACGCATGGGCAGGCCCGTCCGGGTAAGTACCACGACCTCACAGAAGACCAGCGTAAAGTGGAAGTATGAAAAATACTTTCGCGTTTCGTCTGGTGAGTGAGTAGCCGGAGCCCAACTTTCAAAAGGTTGTCAACGCATCTGTAACCCTCGGGTGTAGCAGATGTCCATGGGCGGCGGTATTCACTTACCGTCTAGTGAACCATCTGCTCGTTTGGCAACTTTTTACATAAAAAAAAAATAAAAAAAATAAAATAAAATAAAGTTGGTCCCGGCTACCTCTCTCACCAGACGAAAAGTAGAAGTATAACACTTCTTTTTTACACCGGTCTTCTGTGAGATCGGTACGGAACCCTTCATGTGCGAGTCTGACTCGCACTTGGCCGGTTTTTATTCAATACATTGTCGATATGATGGCAAAATATATCATAAAGATTGAATTACATATGATGTCGTAATCACCAGAGACTAAGGGCTGGTGAAACATTCATCTTAGAGACGCTTTAAATTAAGACATTGGTTCATCAAACTTCGGATCATCAGACATCGGTCAAAAAAAATACCAAAGATGCGATGATTTAAGTCCGAAGCTATGGGAGACCAGACTTATTTGTCACTTTTACGTGATGTAATTTCAAGGGTATTTCGTTAAAAGATGAAGAAATTCATCAAATTATTCCCCAAAGACAAAATATTCGAAAGTCACATAAAACATGTGTGTGTATGATAATTTTTACTTTTAAATATTTTGTTAAATACCCGTGCGAACCCGGGGTAGGCCGCTAGTAGTATTATAAAACAAAAAGTATTTTATTCACTAAATCCGCGCCAGTTCGAAACTGGCTGGATATCTGGAACAGGAGTGCGAACGTTTAGTAAATGCTAAGTAGTAAAAAATTCATGAATGAATAATAAGAGATTACAATTTTAAAAAATATATTTATGATATTCAACAAATACTTAACATTAAAAACAGTCATTTAAGTTTACGTTCACGTATTTACACAAAATTCTTTAACGTTACCATATGTTCATGAGAAAATTTATGCGAAGGAATAATACTACTCCCTTACTTGATATTACTGCCTTACAACAAAAATAGTTTTTTGTTAGAAGGCAGTAATATTACGTACTTTATATACTATGCATTAGCAGTTATAACGAATACTTTATTTCAGATTCTTATTCAAATTTTACTCTCTTCTCTTTTCTTCTCTCTTCAATCAAAGCACTCTGAGTTGCAGCATCGCTTTGGAAGCAACAAAAACAGCAAACACTCAACAGTTTATGTACTACATACGTGAGAATGTATAAAACTAAAGCGATGAAGGATAACACATCAAGCTGAAGAAACTGGTAGAATGGTACAGTAACAGATGCCGCCACTAGGTTGGGAGCACCGTTGTATCTTGCTACGTACTCCGTCCAATAAATAGCAGTCTCCAATGGTGACATAGGGCGATCATGCCAAATTCGGGACACAACTCGAGCACGTTGTTGGCATCTGTAAAGGAATGCCATATAAAATTGTTACTTTGTACAACTGTCGTAGGACCACGCAGCAGCCTCGGTTGTTGCAGGAATGAGCAGGCTCCTCCGGGTAAGTACCACGACCTCACAGAAGTCCGGCGTCAAATGGAATTATTATAATTTCGCATTTCATCTGGTGAGTGAGATAGCCGGAGCCCAATTTAAAAAAAATTGTCAACACATTTGCAACCCCCGGGTGTAGCAGATGTCAATGGGCCGCGGAATTCACTTAACAGGTGAACCGCCTGCTCGCTTGGCAACTTTTCACAAAAAAAAACTTGTCCTTTTTAAATTTAACCTATATTTGATACAAAAATTAATTAAATTGCTATAACGCTTATGCAAAACGTTACTTATTGGGTATATAAATACCCATCACATTGTAGAAATTCATTGATCGGAGATATCGGTCAAGTGCTAAACGTCGAGCGTTTAGGGCCCAGCAAGGAAAAAAGGGTCTAACATCTTTCATTACATTGTTTGTATTATTTGTAATAATTAACATAATTGAAGACCTACACCTATTAAAACAAATGTTTTATTGTTCCGATTCATGATTGCACTTTTAATTGGATGAGTTTTTTTCATTTGTCGGTTTTATTCTTATTTTCTCTAGCGTAAAGTTCATACTATTCACGGCAATGGAAGGATTGACTTGTATGCAGGCCATTAGATTAGATTTTTAGTCTACTGCACTATCTTTCCTTTAAACCTATTGTCAAAAGATGGCATGATCAAACAAGAGATATAATATATTACTATTTAGTAAGTACCTACTTTAGCGTAACAAAATAAAGAAAATAAATTGTTTTATCCTCTGTGTCAGTACTCTTTATTTGTAGTAAATAAAAAAAACATTTAATTGCATGAAATTCTTCTCTTTGCAACCAACTTCATCATGTCGCCTTTTGGGGGTCGGACACGAACTGCCGAAGACGTGGGTTCGATTCCCACAGCGGCGACAATCTTTTCGCACTTTTTCTACATATTTTAATAATTTTATTCTCATTTTTTTTCCAAACGCGCCAAAAGATTTACTAAAAATGAAATCTTGTATAAAACGGTTATTGTTTATAAAGCAAAAATGATGAGCTTTAGCCGTCCTCAAACAACATTGACCTGGCTTAATGCCCTTTAGGACGTGTGACAATCATTTATCAAGTACAGACTGTACAAGTTTTGTAGCGTCCAAAAGACAAACAAGATTTATCTTCATTGCACTTGTTATTTGAAATATGCAAACAAAGAAAAATAACACATTGCATATTTTTAATCCTATTTGTTAGGTCTTGTAGAAAGAAGTAGATATTAAAAAACCAAGCTAATGTCTTGAGAACTGTGATCAAAAGTTTGAATCCCTATTCCATAGTAGTGAGGTTGAGCCGTGCCAAAGTCTACAAAATTAGCGTGTTATCAAATGATTTCTAATGAATTAAGTTTATAAAATTATGCAAGTTTTAAAGTGAAAATAGCATTTTCCTTTTTTATTTTTAGTTTGCGGAAACTCTTGTAGTGATCAAGGCTCAACAATTCATTAAAATATTTAAATGCGAAAATTTAACCTTTCATCGATATATTTTAGATATAGATATATCTATGTATATTATACATATAGATATATCTATGTATATTATACATATAAATTGTATTTAATCTGTCCGACTAGATAACACTTATATAGAACACATATTTACACAAATAGTTCTAAATAATTAAATAGTTATATGTATCTAAAGGTCTTCAGCTTTACACTAAAAAGCATTTGCATGTAGTGTAAAACGGTAAATAATTATATTTCTGAAATATTCTTACACAACATAATCTAGTCCCAAACGAAGAAACAAAGCACATACTATGGGTACTAGGTAACTGATAAACATACTTAAACTTTATTAATTTTCTTTCATAAGTAAATACATATAAGTACATAAACACCAATACGCTAGATAAACACTATCGAACCCACACCCTTTGGCGCAAGAGACAGGTTCAATATTCACTACGCCAATAAGGTCGTCAAATGAAAAAGATGAAACTCACTTCGCATCTAACACTTCATTTACAGCATCCAAAAGCAGCGTCTTTCTCAGATCACTGTAGGGAACCATCGCAGCGACACCGGCATCCACCAAAGCGGCTGCATTCCCATATTGGTCACCAAACAGAGGTATAGCAACGACTGGTACACCGGAATCGATGGCTTCTATCGTGCTCAGTATGCCAGCGTGAGAGATGAACACCTTTACGTTATCGTGCTCTGAAATAAGAAAAGGCCGTAGTGAAAGTCGACTGACTATATACATCTAATACGAGGCACACGAGGTTAATGCAACATGTTCAATTATTCAACGCTTTTTTCTGACACTTCAGAGTACACGAAATTGAATTATTCAGTGTGGCCGTCAGTTTGTTGAACTGCAAACGTTAAGTGCTAAAGGCTTTATTAATTGTATGTAAATAAGTCGATTTTTTTATATCAAGTGTTTTATACATTCATTTTAAAGTAGATGATCGTGAAAGATTCTTATTTACATTGATTCATAGTATGAAACAAAGTGGTCAGTATTCATTTATATAATATATACATATTATGTTGTCAGTGACATTAATACAAGTTCTATACTATAACAAAGTTTGATACGTTAGAGTTAACAATTTGTTGAGATATGAAAAATGAACTAAATTTTTATGACATTTTTATTTTTCAGAAAACTTCTTATGAATTAATATAAGTTAAATGTCTCACAAAAGTAAGACTTAATGATATAATAGGTTGAGGAAAAAGTTTCTTCGCATTTTATATGAAAATTCAAAACATTTTTTAAGAAAATTTATATACATTTAACTAAAGTTTGTAGGTGTCATTTAGTTCGATAACTTTCTGCCATCTTGTAGGTCATGATCCCATTGCTATAGAAATTCTGGGGCTTCTGATCAAAACACTGCGACAAGTGGTTTTGGCAGTCCTCTCGTGATGTTAACAGTTCATAATGAATAATGCCCTTCCAATCCCACCATACACACAGCATTACCTTGTTGCGAGATAACCCGGGTTTTACCAGAGTCTGTGAAGCCTGACCAGCCTTTGACCACGACCTTTTTCACACATTCTTGTCGTACGTGATCCACTTTTCATCACCAGATATCAGGTTTTTCAAAAATGTTTCGTTACGTGTTTCATTACGTTGTAATAAAGAATTACAAATGAGTACACGGTTCATTAGGTTTCTTTCAATGAGCTCATGAGGCACCCAAATATCGAGCTTTTTTGTGTACCCAGCTTTTTTCAAATGCGCCAAAACTGTTTTGTGGTCAATTTCCCGTTCTTCCTCTACATCGTAACTACGGATATACCGATCTTGCTCCACATTTTCAAAAATGGCATCCATTTTATAACGGCGTATTTATAATGGCGTAACAGGACGCCCAGAGCGAGGTTAACAGTAAGAAAAACAAAAGAAAATCATACATTTTCCTAATTCGAATTTTTTAAAATTTTAACTTATTAATGATACCAAAACCAGCCAGATACAAATGGTATTGCCAAAGAGATTATATTATAAGCACATACATACTATTTGCTAAAAGATTTTTTTCCCAACCTAATAGGCTATAATGAGCGGTAGGTAATAATAGAATAAAGTAGTCCCCTGTGCAACTTGGACTTTTATGACGTCTTACTTTCCGGTCGTACTGTTTTGAATTATACTCGCTACACTCCAGACTGAAGGTAAAATAAATATTTTCTAAAAAGTGTGTTCTAAAATAAATATTTTTGAACACATTTTTACACAACGTTGTCTAGTCCCAAACTAAGCAACACTTGTACACAACATGGGTACTAGATAACTGATAAACATACTTAAACATACAATTTATTTTGTAAATAAATACCTATTATACGGTGGTAAGGTCACGCAGCAGCCTCGGCTGTTGCACGAATGGGCAGGCTCCTCTGGGTAAGTACCGCGACCTCACAGAAGACCGGCGTAAAGTGGAAGTATAATACTTTCGCGTTTCGTCTGGTGAGTGAGGTAGCTGGAGCCCAAATTCTTGAAAGGTTGTAAACGCATCTGCAAACCCTCGGGTGTAGCAGATGTCTATGGGCGGCGGTATTCACTTAACATCAGGTGAACCGTCTGCTCGTTTGCCAACTTTTCACATAAAAAAAACATATTTAAACACTCAGATACTAGAAAAACATTCAATTCATCACACAATATTGTTGTCCAGTAGTGGGGATCGAACCCACGCCCTCTGGCACAGGAAGCAGTTACATTTTCCACTACGCTATTCGGATCGTCAAATATACCAAGATCATTCAAAAATATGGAATTTTGTAAAATACTTTTTTAATATGAGATTCAATATTAAGCACAACATTCAAACCTGTTAATAATAGGTACATCCTATTACTCACTTTTCATGTATATGGAAAATGTATATCTGAATAGAAAAATACGCTCTTCACTTCTATCATCTATAATTCTGTACCTCATTTTAAGCAATAAATGTACAGTTATCTTACTAGAATAAGTACTTACTAAGGATATCGTATTGTGGCAACCATCGCAATGTCATGACGTTTCTGGGCAGATTTACAATGGCCTGACCATCCCATTTCCAGAGAATTCGTAAGGGCAATTTACTGAATGTTGACAATAGCTCGTCTAACTTCTCTTTGGGCAACGTAGAATCTTTTATAGCAGAACCTAAATTTACGTAAATCACTCCATGCTCCGCTTCGTTTATAAATCTTTCTATTTCCTGCAGAAATGGAAAGTTTATTTTAATTAAATACATTAAGAAGACACTACACTCTTTATTTACTAGTCGCCATCACGTTTATAAACATTCACTTAGAAAAACATTATTCCTAGATTTCTTGCCATAGTTGTGGCCAGGTAGAGAAATCAAACCTAATTTGAAATTTACCGTACCAGAATTTAATTTATTTTATGCACATTCGGTTTTTGTCGTTAAATAAATCCTTACTGGATTTATTAGTGCAATAGCTAAGCGAAAGACTTCAGAGTGAGTCGTGAATTTTGATCGCACTGGGATAAATTTGTATAATCTCGAGGTAACATTCTGAATCTGAATATTTGCTGTAGTTAAATTTGTCTTTGTAAAACGCCTTTACCACATGGGATTATCCTGCTAATGTTAGGTTAAGTTAATGTTAGGCTAACTTAATCAACAAATACTGAATACTCTGATAATGTACATGGTTTTTTATTTAAATAAAACTATCAACAAACAAAACAAATCTGATCGAATTTAAAAAACAAACAAAGCAAGAAACTGCAATATTATTATAAATACTGTTCTTCTTTCAATGACACAAATAACGTATCAAGGCTTCTAATGAGCAAAATTTTTCATACACTGGCCTTGGTATTCAACACAAATCAATATTGACCTCATTCATTTGACTGAGACAGCGTATGGCATACCTACTTATAGGCACTTACACAAGAAGGATTTTTAAACGGTAGTAATTTTCCGCATGAAAAAACTTTGTAAAAGTTATTGTTTTCAGATAAGAATTCAACAAGTAATTATTGTTTTTCATAATGCAATGCACTTAATGAATAACATTTGCCGCAAAAGATAAAAACAATTTATATTTAACCGACCTTACCTAATCTAATCGTAAATGTATGGGATTACGAATGTATCCGATATAGTACTTACGGTCGGTATTATTTTAGGTGGCCTCACATGTATACCTCCGATGTCAATAACGTTATCAGCCCTCGAGACACCACCGTACACTGATTGGTGCGTGTTTACAAACACTAGACTGGCGTTGGACGCGAACTTTTCCAGGGGTGGCAGATCGTCGCCCAGGTACTTGTAAAGGTAGACGTGGTCGGTAACTTGGGATCCGATGTAGTACACCCCGTTGGTTAAGTGGTACAATATGTAGCTCTTCAGCCTGTCAAAAAACCAAGGGTGCTTCCCGTAAGGCAGGTGCGACTGGGGCACGAAGGCGGAGTTGAAATTTATGCCAAGCCTGTTGTACTGCCACGGCTGAATTGGTTGCGGGTTGAAAGCTATGTAGGGCGCGCTAAGGTTCGCCGCTAGAGCGATGCCGCAGTCACTGTTATACGACTCCACCAGTATGACGTCATATCGCGGCCGAGTCCGTATCATGTGTAGCACTTGATGGTTGTTCATCAGCACTTTGCAGTCGTCATTCCCCGATTTGGTCGACACAAGAGTTTCGAAGGGCACCCGCGACGTCTCGCTCGGTATCACGGACTCGAACGATAGGCCTTTGTAGGCTTTGTTGTCGCTGAGGAGTATATCACGATAGCCGGCCGGCGCGTCCGCCAGTTGGAAGTGTGAAATAAGCGTCACGTCGTGGTTCCTATTCGCGAGCTCCCGGAACAGGCCGCGGTACGTCAAGTGATTGTTTCGCTCCGTCGACGGGAATATGCCGAGTATTCTGTAGCCGCTCGCCACTAGCGGCGCGACTGCGTAGAAAAACAGGGCCGCGTGCGTCTTCATTTCGGAATCTCGTTCCGTACGGCCGGTTCGGGTATCGAGCGTGCACTGGCGCTGAATGCCGGCATTCGCGGGCAACTAATAATAGGTGCCACGCCGTGTTTGTGTTGACGGTGACGTAATCGTTCCGTCAGAATCGAAAATATTCGGCGAGCGCGACCTCGCCACGTCCCGCGCGGAAACGTGCGACGGAATTGGCCGAGCGTCGGTCGAGCACTGACGCTGACGCTTCGCGATTCACGCTACTACGATCCGTTTGACATCGCTCATTATTTATACACTCGATAAAGTAAATTTACATACGTTCTTCCGATACAATTAATTGGAGTGCAGTTTATTTTCGAAAACGCTAATGCCATGGGTCAATAAGAGAACTTGTAATTCTATAGATTATTTATTTATTAGGCATTTTACGTTAAGTAAGAGTGGAAAACTTTAATCTATTCGAGGATGTGCAAGGTTTTTTTCTTCTTATAAATAAAGTAAATGTTTTAAAATTAACCATCCCATCTATCATAACTTTGTCTTATCACAAAAGGATATTCAAATTTGATATAATTATAATGTTAACTAGTCCAAAGTTCAACTACGATGAAATTCCTAAAGTAGAGTTATATTTGTTGTTGTGTTTCGGTTACATTTATTTTGTAATTAAAAATATATTTTTAAATTAAAAGGAAGAGTTCTTGTTCAATGTTTGAGGCCTTTAGTTGTTTTTTTTGAGTTATTCAATGTCAAAAAGTTCCATTTACTGTTATTTTGGCCCAATTTTGCGTATTATTTTTAGCGGAATTATATAAGAAAAAATGCCACAAAATGTCATGAAAAATACGATTGTATTAGTTGTACAATTGTAGTAGGTTTCAAGACATTAATTTCAAGATACACAGTTTATTTTACTATTACTATTTTTCATTATTAAACTTTTAATTGATCGACGTCGATATTTTTACACTTGTGTTTCTCAGAATAATTTTAACAAACTTAAAATCCTACTTTGTATATCAACTTCATTATAAGCATAGTGTTTACTACTACTTTACTGCCCTAGTTATTCTCTTTCTTATTTATCTAGGACTATCTAGGCTTGCATTAAACTCAACTTTGTACAATTTTTCGAGAAATAAAGATTAAATCAATAAATAAAATAAATATATACTAGCTCTTGCCCGCAGCTTCTGTTGTAAACAACTTGATTTTTTCGGTTACTTGGTGCTTTAGATAAAGGCCACCACTGTAGAACCTATTCCACACGCACGATTTACTGTAGTATTTTGTTGTTTCACTGTGGTAGAGTCGTACGTAGCAGGTCTTGCTATTGTATGAATGGGAAAATATCACGGTTTCATAGAAAACCTGCGTTAAGTAGAAGAAGTATTCATTGTGTTTGATTTTGCGTTGCAAGGTGACCAGGGCGCGCCCTCATAGAGATGAGCTACGCAAGTGTAGTTCCATTGTTGTTGATATCACTTAACTTTGACTAAAATTTCTTATACAAGAAGGTTCCAGGATATCGTCTGTGCTAGTAGCGTCCATTTACTTAAACTTGATATGTGATATCGCATATGTTTGTATATCTGTTTGTATATATCGTATAATCGTATAAACTTATAAAGCGTCCGGTGTGGGCGCCGCTCGAGTTCCACAGACTGAAAACAATCCGCTGTGACGTGCAGCCGAGCGTAACGGCTCTAAACAATGCCATATGCAAGCAGAGCTTCACCCAAGCTTATTTGAACAATCTAGATCGGCGGCGAACTTATCGCCACATCAATGGTTACGCGCGATACACAAATGGCTATGTTCAGGCGGCGTTTGTGAGAGATCTTTATTCATGCAAACGAAGTATATTTACGCACCTATTTAAGGCCAAAGCCGGTCGTCAACTTGTTCCCTTTGTTCCTATGTGTTAGATTACTATTCGTTTGTGTATTAGAATTTTCTTATCTAAATAATAACGTTCGATTCACCGTGGAATCATTATGGTTGGGATTATATGACTCTCTATTTAACCAATATGAGTATGTTGAAAGAACTGAGAGTTTATATAATAAAAACATATACTATATGCATGTGATTTTAGTAGGCTTTTATATAAGAAGGAGAATTATGTTTGTGCTCCTAATTTACTTCTTCGACAGCCTAAGCTTGCCTGGAAGAAAATACAGTTGACATTAAGTCTATAAACAGTACTCTTTATGCATTAGTAAGTTAATCAATGGGCAAATTTTATCAGTGGTAGAGTCACGCAGCAGTTTTTATCGTTTGAATGGGTAGGCTTGTCAGAAGAAGTACCATGGCCTCACAAAAGACCGGCATGAGGTGGAAGTATTATACACACTTCCGCATTTCGTTTGGGGAGGTAACCGTGGCCCCCTTTTTTAAAGGTTGTTAACTTAAAAGCAATCTTTTAGGTATTGTTTATGTCTATGAGCGGCGGTAATCACTTACCATCAGGGGAACTGCCTCCTCAATTGCGCATTTTTCACTTTAAAAATTACAAATAAATCGCATAAGTATGCAGAATCTAACTATCATTCTTGAGTCCTTAATAAAATTTATATTATTGCGTATTTTTGCCACATATTTTTCAAACTTTATTGTAAAGAAGGCACCATCTTAGTGTGAATTTATCGAAAACTTCTCATAACATAATTTTATCCTATTGCGGGGGTGAGCTGTTAACATCACTTTTATCATATGATTATGCAGTATTTTTATTGGGCACTTGGCGGTCGAAATGTGTGGATAACTGGTTGGGCATAACAGTTATTTGACGCGGTCATTGCCCTGCACTACGAAGTGAAAGGCCTTGGTTACGTTACCAGAAGTAAGAAAAGGAAAGCATCAAGCAAACACCAATAAAAAACTTGCTAAAATCTTAAAAACAAAACATAAGACTATTATGGATAACCTTCATAGATATCAAAGTTCTACTTTAATATAATATCTATAGTAATACACGTATTAGTTTTTTAAATAAATACAATTGTCATAAAATGCAAAATGTGAGTACTCAGAGTACTGTATGGTTTTTTGTTTTTATTAAAGTTTGTGTTATCAAAACTTACAAAGATATCTTGAGGAAGGAGTACAAGGCGTTTTCTACAGCTTTCTCATATATTATGCATCGATTCATATTATTATCACTGCTGACCAACAGCCATCTCCCTATTTCTCATATTAAGGAAGGAGTACAAGGCGTTTTCTACAGCTTTCTCATATATATTGCATCGATACATATTATTATCACTGCTGACCAACAGTCATCTCCCTATTTCTCATCAAACATCCATATAGGCGGCAAAAGAATAATTCTAACAGATTTATTGCTTATCCGTAAGTCCGTTACCGGAATTGGAAGTGATCGAAAAATTCCCAATGGTTTAAATAGTGATAGTGGGTATTTACTTATCGTTAATCGTTAATATCAGCAGTTTACAGAGTAATTAATATTACTCTTTAAAAAAAAAAAAAACACCGAGCAAAGCTCGGTCCTCCGGGTACTTACTCTTTAAACAGCCATACATGCCTTTTAAATATATCTCTAATTAACATACTATCAATCGCAGGGTATATTGGATTAGATTACTCGGTGAAAGCAATGTAGGCGTATTTAGATAAATAATAAGTTATCGATTGTTTTCATAAGTATTTAAAAATGTCTATCTGTTTATTAAAATATTTTCAAACGATTTACCTCATCCTAAGAAACGTAAACGTCATAAAAGATTGTTTGAAGCTGTTCCGTCACTTCTTCATTATATTCGCGTTTGTAACACGCTAAAGTTACACGCCCCAGCCCTTGGCAACATAAAAATGTAATTACAAGATGGAAGTTCGCGTGGCACTTAAATATAGATTACCCTTTGAAGAGAGTTTGATTTAGGGGATACGGTGTGAGGTCCATTAGATTTAGATTGTGCACAATGTCTCAATTACATTCTTTACAGGTGTAACATCTATATTAACACCGAAATAAATATGCCTTTTATGGGTACACATCGATCATTTTATTGCTACCAGCTGAATAAACATTTTGGAGAAATTGTTCAATTGGTTTGTGTGTCGTGTTTGTTCTTTGATATAATGAAAATGTAGTGGCTGTTGCTAACATTCGGTCAAGACATTTAAATTTATTTATCAAATATCGAAATGGCAGCATGTCGTTTCACATAATCTGTGTTTTCTTCCACGTTTTTGAGACGACTTAACTGGTATTACAATCTTATACTTAGTAAATTGTTAGGTTTATTGGCTGTACATCCCATCTGTGGACAAGTCTCCTGCAAGGAAACTCCACCACGCTGCCTTCATCGCATTGGTAGACTACACATATTGTCGTAATAAAAATATTTTTAAAGATTATATATACAATATAATTAGCACTTACTTTCTATTAATAGTTTCACTGGTGTTAGGAAAGAGATTTGCACTCAAGTCACTTCAGTTTGTCACTCTATCCGAGCATGAATTGAAATTGAATTAAAATCGAGCACCCGGACACTGAGCTATCACGGCTTGCAAGTGCAGATGTATGTTTGTTAAACATATGCTTTTTTTTATTTTTAACAATATTAGCTTATACGCTATCGTGAGATACTATTTGTATTCCATTTAAATGGAAAACTTGCGATGCTATCCCATATTTCAATGGAAGTTATAATATTTATATTTCGAGTAAGTTCATCGAACTTATACAACTAGCTGACCCGGCAAACGTTGTTTTGCCCTATAAATTATTTGTAGGGTAGAAAGAAATGTTTGGTATGGACCACCCTTAAAATTAAGGGGGATGAAAAATAGATGTTGTTTGATTCTCCACCGATATGCACACAAAATTTCACTAAAATCGGTCGAGCCGTTAGAGAGGAGTTCAACTACAAACACCGTGACACGAGAATTTTATATATTATAGCCAAAGAAAGCGACACCAGTTTACCAACTTCAAACGATAGAGCAAGGCTTAGTGCAAATGTTAGTTTCACGATCCACATGTTGCGTAACAGTGTTTGCAGGCGATGATATAATAACTTAACAAATCTATTCATATTGACGAGTTGTGGTAAGACAAGTTAAAAAAGTTTTTAGCACGAATACCCGTACATTTCGCTTCTGATACATGACTACATTTAAAACAGCAGCATTAACACATCATATAATGACTAACCCGAATGATACATATCGTTAATATAATTAATTTACTTATAGTTTTTTCGTGTTTACCGGCGACCCGATTAGGGTAGTGGATAGTGAACCTGTTTTCTGCACCAGAGGGTGTGGGTTCGTTCCCCCATACAGGAAAAATATTGTGCAATGAACATAATGCTTTTCTAGTAACTGAAAATTACGGTCTAGAATGTTTCTCGGTTATCTGAGGAGAAGATTCAACGATAAAACATCTCGGTCCGTCCTATGAACGTAAATTAGGCTTATTTAACACTTCACAAATCAATTTGCACTTATCAACACGCTGTTGCAGAATCCTATTTCCACCGCAGATGCCTACACCTCCCACGCCGCTTGTGTGCAAATGGGGGCTTTGTATTAAATTGCCGTAAGGAGTAGTGCACTCTAAATTAAAAATGACTCGTAGGTTCACGGAGCTCCATGATTGCAATAAGCTGTCACCTGTCATGGGTTTCTTTGTGTCAGTTGCTTTAACTAACTGTGGTAGGGTTACGCAACTGTGTTCACTGTTGCACGAATGGGCAGGTCCATTCGGGTAAGTACCACAACCTCATAGCAGTCCGGCGTGAAGTAGAAGTGTTACACTTGTGCGCTTCGTGTGGTGAGTGCGGTAGCCGGGGCCCACTTTATTAAAAGCATCTGGCAACGCATCTGCAACTCTAAGGGTGTGGCAAATGTCCATGAGCGGCGGTTATCACTTAACATCAGGTGAACCGCCAGCTCGTTTGGCACTTTTTCACATTAAAAAAAAGGTTAATCTATAAGTAGCTAGGCCACGTAGGTTTAATTTTTATAACATAAAATACACTTAACGTTTACCGGACGTAAATAATTTAGATTTATTAGAAATAGTCACATAAAATTGTAGTCAACGTAAGTCATTACTTTGAGCCATTTCGCACCAAATTCGCTATATATATATCATAAACTTCTTAGGTATTTCCTAAGCTTTAAGTCAGTTGGTCACGATCTATTTGGTTACAGTGACCTTGTTAGACATTTAGATTTTATTTAAACATATTGTGCGGATGATACGCACTTGAATATTGTTAAAATAAATTAGAACATTTCTTGCGCTCAATTTTCTTATCAAAATTTAACAATTACATAAGTACAAGACATTTATATCCATTATTAACCGTATAAGAGTCGTTTCGATTTAGTTTCACAGCGTACAAGATTGTGTATAGTCTTCTATATCCAGTATAAGCAATGTATCAATACTCAAAAATATTCCGATAAGTGCAAGGATGCAACTTCTAAGTCGTTATCGCACTTTATTGAAAACTCCACGTTGAGGACTTTTCCATCCATATCTACTAGATATCTCCTTTTAAATTCAATTTAAGGAAAACTGTTGAGTTATAAATATAGTAGATGGTGATTTAAATAAAAACATCAAATTTTATTTTCGGATCCAAATCCTTGTTCCTGAGAATTTTTTCTTCAAAAGCGTCCGAAGTCGATCAATCCTTCGTCGTTTCTACGTCGCCTTCCGATACTTCTTATAGGTGATTGCAAATTACCGATAAAGAATATGCGATTCATTAATGTCTGTGCTAACGTCCTCCTTCGAGCGAGGAATTGCAGTTGCAATTTCTTGTTGAATAGTTATAATTAAGCTTGCTTCCTTGACGCAATGCCGCGTGAGATCCTTTTTTTATAATGTACTACCAGAACTTGTCCTGTACACACGATTTAATTCCGACAACTTATAAATAAAAAAAAAATTAAAAAAGTTGTATTGTCCCGAATTGTGAATCTAAACCATACTCCAATCGACTTGAAGACACAATAAAATAAAATTATGTCTACTTTATTTACACATACCACCGACACGTAATAGAAATTCGAGAAAAATAATAGTAAATAAGACAACGAGACTATGTATTTATTTTTAAAGGTTTCTCAAAATTAGTCTCGTTGCAATGAACTTAAAACTTTTAGGTTTATAAAAGTGGGTTGCAAAATTAAAAGGTATGGTAAGAAAAGTATATCTACTGTCCAAAATTCGAGTCGACAAAAATTGCATTTTGTTTACTATTGTGTTGTACTAGACATAAAATTATATTTTTCGTCTTCATGAAATTTTTAATTTAGAAATCTAGCAGTTATTTGAAAGTGTCGGCATAATATAAAGTTGCTCACTAGGTAGCGCCCAACACTGAAAAAAATGGAATATAATAAATAGTAAACAGTTTTCGAGATTTTTGTGCCGCGGCTATTTAGGCCGCAGGCGAAAGCAATTTTAAACACTGAAATAAAGCTTTATTTCTATTTTTATTTGAAAAGGTTGCAATGAGCAGGCGGTTCACGTGATGTTAAGTGAACATCGCCGCCAAATGACATTTGCAACACCCGAAGGGTTGCAGGTGCGTTGCCACCTTTTAATAAAGTGGGCCCCGGCTACCTCACTCATTAGGCGAAACGCCGAAGTAAAACACTTTTACTTCACGACGGTCGTGGTACTTACCGTCCGGGTAACTTTCCTATTCGTGCATCAGACAATCGTGGAGGCCGGGCGCTACGTCAGGAATGACGTAATAGCCCGAGACCTTAAAGTAGAGTCCATCAAGGAGTTTGTGGTCCGGATGGCCCGTCGTATGTACGACAGGGCCGACAACGGACCACATCCACACCTGAATAATATCGCTCCTCTCTACGCCCGTCCTCCTGACGGGCGCCCGCTCCCACGAGAGCTACTGCGGTCGAAACAGGCCATCGGCTACGGAGCCGACCGCACTTCCGCCGTGTCGAAGACGATGTCGTCCTCGCGTTACACACCGAGTGTAACGCCGTACACCCGCCAGTGCCGCTATCGCGGTCAGGGAAAGGGATGGCCGTCGGCCATCCTCATCACCGACCAGCCATTGCTGGTCGAGATACATGCCCAAGCAATGGGGACATGGCCCCGAGGCTTGTTTATGCAGGGCCTTTGGCCAGCTGCAATACATCACGTGCATCAGAGAAGACTCTTGCACAGTTAGGTTAGCAAAATACTTAATAATTTACTTGTACTTTGAGATTATTTATGTCAAAGTTTCATATAAATAAAATGTACTTAACATTCGAATATTGTTTCCCCTAAACCAGGTAAATATGCGAACTTGGTAAACATGCATATTTAATCGTTACGAATAGTTCGTGTGCACTTAGCGAAACGGAACTATCACAGTTACTTGCATGTGCTCTTAGTAGTTACATTAGGCAATATTCAGCTAATGGCTTCTAAATGTATCTTGTTTCAAAGCTGAGTAGTATGTGGTACGTAGTGGCGCATAAAGTGAAAATGAGAGAAATCGTTTTGGCTATAAAGGAATTGCGTTTCCGTCATTTCTATTAAATTTCCACTATTCGTATCTAATCAATCGCTACAAGTAACTTGGAAGTATTTGTCACTTTTCATAAACACATTTATTTACATACAGACACGGCGTGACTGTTAGGCGGCTGTTCAACTTTTTAGTGCAGAGTTATTCTAATCAGGCATAGTTACTTTAAATTTTTGCTCTTCACGAAGCTAGAATTTATTTAGAGTTATCAGAAATATCGTTAAAGTAATATAATAAGAAAACTAGCTGTCCCTAGTATTAACATCAACAGTCAACTTTAGGCTCCATTTGAAAATCAGCGCTGTAGTACAAATAGGACTGCAGCATTTTGCTGAAATGGAGTTCCTATTTGATGTCACAATTTTTCTGTTTATGTTTTATTATATTGTTTTATTTATGTTGAATTGTATTTTTTGTTAAGTGATGTCAAATAAAGAGATTTTCTTTCTTCTTTCTTTCTAACATAGAAAAGGATACGCATAATTTTTTTTGATCATTAAAAAAAGGTACAAGGCTTTGATTCAAGTGTAATGCTTTATTAGCTTTGAATAAACTGTTCTTTTATTACTGCGCAAGTATCCAAGAGGCATATGAAGTGATTCGGGCGTATGCAGCGGGGAAGCCGACAGCGCAACCGTCTCTGTGTCCGAAGGATGTTGCTCCGACCTGTTTTAAAATTAAAGTTTAGGCGAAACATATCAAACTTTTCTTTACTTGTTTTAATTAAACATTGGTTCTACAATTAACTTTATCGAATAAAACTTAATCAATACATAATCTTAAAAATAAAATGTATTAATTTTATCGGCAATGACTACGAAAGACATGCTCTATCTGAACCTTCTAAAAGACGATAAGATCGTGTAATTAAAGAATATAATCGGATGCGGTTTTACCTTGGTCCACTGAACTTTTAATTATCATTGAATCCTTCTTATTACTTTTTAATATTTATTATTTTTATTTACTTTTAAGTATCATTAATTACCAAATTTAATGTATCATTCGAATGCTATACAGTACTTACAGCACAGGATGTATTATGAATTTTGGCGGAAATCAAGCAGTGAAATCTGTAAAATTTATAAATCTCGGTTCTATTTCTTGTTTATTTGCCAAGTTTTTATCTACGTACCAAAATTCTTCTACCGCCGCTCGTAACAGCAAGGGGACCACCGGAGTCACCTTGACACGTGCTTTTGCCACCAGCGCCGCTGGTACAGATATTGGTGCTGTGATACCAACTGCCATAGATGTTGGCACATTCAGAGTCGGCCACGATGGGGAGGTTAACAGAGCTCAAACGTTGGTTATTGCTAATACCGGCGCCTAAAATAATATAAGTAACCGTTTAATTACTTGGAAGTACTTTGGAAGGGGAAAAAAGGAGAGACGTGATAGCTCAGTATCCTGGCCCTTGACTTTAATTCAATCCCCGGTGCCGGCACCAATGAAATTGTTAATTTTAAGTGCTGACTTATCACGTGAAAGAAAACATCGTGAGGAAACCTGCATATTTTCGAAATAATAACAAAAAAAAATTTTTTCGATGATATGTGAAGTCCGCCTATCCGCATCTTGTATCTTGTATTATCTGATGTTTTTGCTTTCAGTCCCGAGACTATTAAAGCTTCATCGGACGCAGAACCGGTGGGCTAGCCAGAACCCACGGGTTTGGACCCTCCGCTATGGGTAGGGTCGCGCATGTGCTCATGCGTGCGTTTAACTACTATGGTGTGTCATCTAAGGGCCGTCGAGGTCGCCGGTTCGGACCGAGACCCCGACGGCCGTCGACTGTGCATTTAGCTAATCGGTGGCTGGGAGCGGTGAGAACCGTCCCGGAACGCGGGTGTGTACCTTGTGTACGCGTTGTGTGGGTCTCGCCGTGCTCGGAGGCGAGGGCGAACTGGTGTGATTGTTGTTACACTAACTGTGGGTGTAGTGTTATCCAGCGGGACCCCGGGCGGTGGGTCCATCGTATCTAAGTCCTCTTCGTCGACCGGGTCGATGAGGACGTTTCGCGGGCGACGTTTGTTTACGTTCGCGTTTGTGTCCGGTTGGTAGTTTGCTGCGCTTACCACCAGAGGGTTGGGATGATGCTGGGCTCTATCGAAGAACCGTTTTGTCAAATCTTTAAAATGAGCGCGAATCGTCGGGAGTCTGCAATCGCTGTGCAGGTCGACGTTGCGCTGATACCATTGCGCACCGGTTGCGCGGCGGATAAACTTACTTTGTACTACTTGCAATTTGTTAATGCGCGTAGGATTTATATGTGCGAAGATCATGCAAGCGTAGGAAATGATTGGCCTTACGCAAGCTTTATATAACAGTAGTTTGTGCCTTAAGGGCATTTTACTATGCTTATTCGTTAAATTGTGTAGCCGGCCGGAGACGAACGCGGCTTTATTTCGGACTTGATTGATGTGCGTAGTGAAAGTCATACGCGAGTCGAAAGTGACTCCTAAATATTTGACCGTTTTCTCCCAGGGGAGAGTTTTATTTATAGTTATATTTGCCCCAACTTTCTGTACTGGCGAGGACCTTTGTAACGGTGTGGCGGATGGGGGTTGGGGGTGCTACTAGTAAAGTGAATCGCCACACTTTTTTCTGGATTAATATCGATTCTCCATTTGCTGAACCAATCGCCGAAGCGGTCGGCGGCGCTTTGGAGTCGAGTTGTTAATTGACTGAGGTTGCGATCTGAGTAAAAGAGCGCCGTGTCATCCGCGAAAAGCGCGAGATTGACGTGGGAGTCTCTAGGTATGTCGCTCGTGTAGAGCGTAAATAGCAAGGGTGAGAGGCAGGAGCCTTGTGGTACGCCGGCCGTGAGGCGGCGGTTTGTGGAGAGGGTGCCCTCGACTCGATATCGAAAAGAGCGGTTCAACAAAAAGGCCCGGATGGTGTGTACGAGCCTATCTGGCACTTTGAGTGTGTACAGCTTGTAAAGCAAGCCGTTGTGCCAGACTTTGTCGAATGCTTTTGCGACGTCGAAGAAGAGAGCCCCTGTACTAATGTGTTTGGGGTGGTTAAGGCCTTTTAGGATGTGCTCCGTTAGGCGGTATAACTGATCGGGACAAGAGTGTCTAGCTCGAAAGCCGAATTGTTTCCGCCGGCAGAAGGCCGTTGGAAAACACGTGCTCTTTGAGCTTGTTTAACAAAAGCCGCTCGTAGAGCTTCCCCAGGCAACTGAGGAGGCTGATGGGACGATGGCTAGAGGGCTGGTTGGTTGGTTTATTCGGCTTGCGAATGCCGATAACCGTGGCTTGCTTCCAGTCGTCCGGAAAGGAGCAACTGGAGAGAAGGGTATTGAAAATGGTCGCCAGTAAACAGATAAGCGGCCCAGGGAGAGCTTTGAGAATCTTATTACTTATGTTATCTGGGCCCGGGGCGGATTTTGGTTTTAAATTTTTAATAATAATATCTTGGACCTCTTCGGGGGTCACTGAATTTAGAGGTTCGCCTTCCGGTGGAAGCGCAGCCCTAGTCTCGATTACGCGGTCCACCTCCGTTAGGTGGACTGAATCGGTGTGTTCGCGCGGCCTATCCGCAGTGGGGCCGCGTGGTAGACTATGCCCTAATACCCTCTGTAAAGAGCATCTTCTGCCCAGCAGTGGTACATTTATAGGCTGTTAATTTAACTTACTTTACTATATTTTTACTTTAGAAGGGGTTGATTTATATTATACAAAACTAGAACGAGTCAACTTTACGGTAATCTAAATTTTAAATTCATCGTATAAAGACTTTACAAGGTACATTTTCATGTAATCACATAGCGTATTTTATTAATTTAAAGTAATAAATTTACCATCAGATGTACGACCGTATCCAGATGCTAGTGCAGTTTGTCCAACGAAGTTGTTAGAGAGCTCATTACCACTGGGTAGAGCGATGGGCTGGATAACATCTGAAAAAATATAGTTTTCAAGTTTAGTAGACAATACAAAATGCTGAGTTACTTCAAATTAATACCCTTACTTACGTACTATTATCGCTTTTTAAATTTATTATTCCGTGTAGTTCTTAAACAAATCACAAACTAGGAATGGATTTGATTGGTATTACCAAAAATCTTTACGTACACGTCGTATAAGTTAACGAATTTATTCCGCTTTGCTATGTGATAATATTATACAAATTAAATAAGTCAACGAACTTACTGGTGTATGCAACAGAGCTGATACGAAGAACGGCGATATCGTTAGCGGCTGTTCTGGGGTTCCAGTTGGGGTGGACGGCAATGTTCCTTGTTGTTACGCGCACACCTCCACTAAAAATGAAATTCGAACCGAGGACAACGGTAAAGGATTGAGCTGTGAAGCTGCCGTCGGAATAACAGTGAGCTGCAGTCACTACACGGGTGTTGGAAATGAGGGAGCCGCCGCAAACAGATGTCAATACAAAGAGGATCGTAATAACAAGACCAGCCTGTAACAATATAATGTATACATGAACACCCAATAGTTTTAGAGTATTTCATACGGAAATTATTGATTTACACATTTTGGTATCCTAACTTAACCTACTTCTTTCTGGATCTAATCTATACGTGTATTTATGTCGGTTACGGTTACATTATACAATTTCTATATTGGAAATCTAGTCGACATGCATTCAACTAACACGCGCAAGGCCGATTTCATCATCGCTTTCACACCATGAATTCTTTCGAATTTTACAAATAAAACTAACAAGTTATTGAAAGTGAAATAGCCATTTACTTATTATACTTATTTATTATGTATATATTTTATGTTTTTTAAAGCCTTTTAAGGATTATATTTTTACGAATACTCTATAGAGTGTTAAAAGCTTGCAACTGTATGAAATTGAAATAGTAATAAAACTCGGATACGTTGGTTTTTTTATATGAAACGTCTAAGGTAAATAAGCAGGCGGTTCATTAGATGTTTAGTGACTAGTACCATGCAGGAACATCTAAAAATCCTTTGGGATAGCGGATGTGTTATAAACTTTTAGAAATTAAATACTTATAAAAATTGAATTGTTCGTTTATGATATATTTACAAAAATAATTTACCTGGTAAGGGATTTGCGAGATATCTGTAATGCTGCCGCCAACGATCCTTCCATTGATATTTTCATTTTTAATAGTCTGTTCTTCTAACTGTCTGATTCTAGCCGCTTCTGGGATACCAATGTTTTTATGATAGCCGTAAGTTGAAACTTCTTCAGCGGAGATCTCCACTGAGGCAAAAGCAACGGATAAAGCCACAAATACGGCTGTAATAAACGTCTTCATTTCCTTACAATTTGATCCCGCTTTAGCTTTGCTCAATATTTCCTTTACTTTTTATACAAAATCGTGAAGTTGTTATCATAATTAACTAATCCCATAATCAATTTACAATCCCTTATCATTGGTAAGATACTTTAATCGGGAAAATACGTCTGAGGTGATTATACAGAGTTTGTTACATTTAAAAGTCACTACAATAAGGCATATTATGTGATTTTAATAGAAAAATTATGGAACATTTTTGGCGCTTGCAGGATTTGAACGTAGATCTTCTACGTAACACTCCTATATGTTCTATTCAATTGAACTAAGCAACCAATGCAAGGCATGAAGATCCCGACAACACAACTGTCTACGTTTTAATTTTGCATGGTAGTACCCAATTAGGGATAGCAACCCGGAGTGATTTTCAATCCGGCCTGATTCGACTGAACTCCCATCGATCGATAAAATCAGAATAATTTTTACTTTACGGTCGAAAATGAACTTTTAATGAGATATTATAGGTATTTTTATTAAAGAATATATATATACGTACATATAAAATCAACTTTATTCACAAATGTTAACATCAACGAGCAAACAATTTAAATCTAGTTGTGTCTTGACTTCTTAGATTATTTTTAAAGTATTTGAAAATGCTAACAAACAAGTTTTATTTTTTATTTCTTATTTTTTCAGTTTTACATTTAAGACTCCATCATGGTCCGATTAATCAATCTGTGGAATGTATATCAGAATAATCACAATAAAGTACTTGCACTACAATCACAAACTCTTTAATTTAGTCAACTAACGATAAATAATTATTTTAGTAAGTATAGATTACCATAAAATCAATGTTTAATTTTGAAAAAAAAGGATCATAGAAAACAATTAGTGCCAATTGTGTCACCCGACTGTAAAATTCTAATCGAGCTGCAAATTTAGTATCTTTATATATATATATATATATAATTCTTCTGTACGCGTGTATGTCACTGAACTCCTCCTAATTGGCTGGACCTTTTTTAACGTCAAATGAAGCTTTTATAGTCTCGGGACTGATAGCAAAAACATCAGTTAATATACAAGACCTATTTTAATGAAATTTTGTGTGTGTGTCTTAAGGTCTATTCGAGAATGGTTTAGATTCACAGCTCGGTCAACTACAATTTTTTATTTTTTTTATTTATAAGTTTTTTCAGATTTAAGTCGTGTTTACAGGATAACTTCTGTCGGCTCCGCTAGTCTACTTATATAAATATAAATTTGTACTGTTGAGGACTATTTGTATAAAAATAGCACTGGCAAACAAGATTCAGATACGAAAAGATATTTCGACCTTATTGCGTTGCAGTTCGTTGCCGAAATCTAACCTTTTTAAAGACCAATTCGTGTTAAACAACTAACCCAAGAACAAAGAATTAACACCGCGCAGATAAGGGAAAAGTTAGGGTTAAAAACAATTATTTTTCGAAATATACAAGGTTTAATTGCATTACTTATACTTACATGATTATAGTTTACTAATTATTTTCTTCTTTCTGTTTATGTTTTGCGTTCAAGAAATAAAATTTCTTATCAAACTAAATTTGGGCTGTTCCTATGCCAAATTGGTAAAATTGGTAAAAAAAAAAAAATAATTGAAGTGAATCAGGTATGTTTTTATTTAATTTGTAAGAAAGTAGGTATTTCTAAATAATAACATAAATTTGGCTTTAAGTTCCATGTTCACCATCGCATTGTGCGGGCGTTGTATGAAGTTGCAAGTCTACTACTAAAGTTCACGCTCTTGTATTTACGGGAACATATGGCAAAATGAAACTATTTTACGGTTTTTATCACGTTTTATTTTGATTCCAAATTCCCGGCGTTTCAAATACATGTAATGTTGTAAACATTGAGCATTCCAATAGAAACTGTGGCAACAAGAAGCGCACGGTGGTAGGGTCACGCAGCAGCCTCGGCTGTTGTACGAATGGGCAGGTTCGTCCGGGTAAGTACCACGATCTTATAGAAGACCAGCGTAAAGTGGAAGTATGACAAATACTTTTGCGTTTCGTCTGGTGAGTAAGGTACCTGGAGCCCAATTTTCAAAAGGTTGTCAATGCATCTGTACCCTCGGGTGTACCAGATCTCCATGGGCCGCGGTATTTACTTAACATCAGGTGATCCGTCTGACACAGACTGGTGTAAAGGAAGTATAACACTTTCGCCTCGTTAATAACGCTTGGTGTACTTTGTATCATTGGCATATTAATTAAAACACTTGTGAAGTGTACTAATTTTTTTCCTCATTTCATTATTTTATACCATCCGAAATTCTAAGAAATTTCGGATGGTATAACATACTGAAATGAATGAAAAAAATATTTTTTATACCTGTTTCATTGTTCTGTTGACTGGGACAGAGTATAAAATTTTGTCCAGTTTACGCGAAATGATGCGTTGACAAACTAAACCGAAATCTTTAAAGACCGATAATCAACTTAAGACCGATCTTCCGATTTCGAGTCCGTAATATTCTAATGAATCGAGTATTCAATCTGTACTACTTTAAAAAAACATTCTACGTGTAATGTGTTTGCAAACGTGTGGAGTCAACAGGCGTGAAATGACCCTTCCTGGTGTTTTATTTTTTTTCGCTCTATACTAAAATGTCTCTTTGCTGCATCTCTTTGTGTCCCCAAATAATAAGAAAAATCTAATATAACGAATAAATGACATAAGTAATTTACATTATAAATATTTATTACATAATTATACTAAGTATTATGCGATCAACGAAAATTTTAATAATAAAAATATATACTAAATAAAACCATACATACAGTTTGTCGTCTTTTGTTATTTTCTCTGCCTTTATGGCACTCCCTAGGTGAACCTAGGGAGTGCCGTCACAACATGTTAATCAGGGTACACGCAACTTTGCTGTTGCACGAATGGGCAGGTCCGTCTGGGCATGTACCACGACCTCATAGAAGATTGGCGTGAAGTGGAACTGTTATACTTCTGCGTTTCGTCTCGTGATTGAGGTAGCCGGGGCAAACAGGTGGCAACGTATCTGCAACCCTACGGGGGTGTTGTAAACGTCCATGGGCGGTGGCTGTCAATTAAAAAAGGTATATTTCGACTGGCCTTCCTGACGTCAACCACCCTTAGGAAAAAATAACCATATCTCTTAAAGTCATCTGTGGATCGAACAAATAACTGTGTCATGTGGGAATCGAACACTGAGCCCGGACGATGAAGCTAAAATCATAACTCCCCGAGTCATCAATGTTGTAAAATCTATTAGTTTTGTTTTGGCATAAAAGTCCCATGCAATAACAAGAGGTACTTTATAAATTCCCGTGGAGGATCAATTACTTATTGATGGATACAGCATAAGACTTCATAAGCACACAATTTACCATGTACTTTAAGTAAGAGTTTTTTTTTTATGTCAAAGAGTAGGGGTTGTAAATAGAGACGAACTGACTATAATTAATAAAAGAACAAAATAATATAAAACAAGTACGTGTAATTGTTTCTGTGAGTCGAGAAGTGACGCCTCAAAATTTTTATTCGTGTGATAAATATTCATATATTTTTCCTTTTATACGAAGTTTAGGTGGTAGTAATGTAATGTAAAAAAAAGAAAATGTTAAAAAATATGACGGTAACATTAACGATTGAAATAAATTTAATTTCCAAGTACGGCACAGTCGTTTTTTATATGTTATAGATTTTAATTTTATTTTGTAAGCCTGGCCTTTGAAGATTGTTTATTCAAGTAGGTTGTGGACTCAACAGGCGTGTAAAGTCCCTTCCACGTATTTTAAAATCTTTTTAACGCTTTATGATCCAATTATGTCCTTTTACATTCACGCCAAGCGTAAAAGTACCTTTCAATTTACTTCTATGTAAATATTTTAAAATGATTTCAAGAGTATTTTCTGGGAATAGCGTCTAAATAAGCATGGAAATATTTTGTAAGCAATAAGAAAATTGTTTTGTTATGTTAAGACAAGCGTAAACTAATTTGCTAAAATAGATAGTCTCCGATTTATGGCTTCGATTTTGTATACATTTGAGTAAGGGAATAAATGATGAGTTACATTGAATTATTCATACATACAAAAGAAATAATAATTTTACTAAATATCTAAGAGGAATAGCGAGCAGGCGGTTCATCTAATGTTAAGTGATAATCACCGCCAATTGACATTTTCAACACCCGTAGGGTTGCAGATGTGTTGCCACCTTATAATAAAGTGGGCCCCCGCTACCTCACTTAAGAGCGAAACGCAGAAGTTTTTTTTTTAATTTAAACTGTAACTAAATGTAACATTATTGTGTACAGATTAAGTGACGGATTAAATGTCTTATGTCTTATGTCTTAAGTATAACACTTTGATTTCACGTAGGCCTTCTGTGAGGTCGTGTTACTTACCCGGACGTACCCGTCATGTGCAACAGTGAAAACTGTTGCGTGGCCCTGCCACTAATGTAAACAAATAAGTAATGAATTATTTGTAAAACTTTTTTTTATGTGGAAAGTTGCCAAGCGAGCAGACGGTTCATCTGATATTCAAATTCAAATTCGAATTCAAATATTTATTTGCCATAAATAGGGTTACAAAGATGTTTAAGTACATGTCTGTGGCTTTAACCTATTTAGCTGTTTAACAGCATGCAAATTTAGCTTTAGCAATTAAATTGCCATGCAGTCATTAAGTTAAAAAAATAGTAATAGTAAACAATAAAATCAATATAAAACAATAATAAATTTTTGTCCCAGTAGTTATAAATGTCATTACCATTATCATACTCTAAGGAGTCTAATATAAAACTATATCAAATACTTTACAGAACCAGTAGTGTTACAGTACAAATAGTGTTATAATAACGATGTTCTGGTGTTAAAATGAAAATATCTAGAAAAAATATATAAAATTTGTCAAAAGTTTTTAGCATTGAAATATCACATAAAAAATTCAAAACATCGCAAATATTCAAATGAAAATAATTTGTTAATA